CTCTGCTTCAAAAAGCTGCCAGCTCTGACAGCCTCATCCTCTCTTTGATATTTTGGAGGGTTTTATTTAAAAGATCTCACTGAAGCAGTGGGCATCCTCTTGGTACACACTTCTCCTTCCCAAAGCCCCAGACAGCAGCAGCAACGCCTTCATCACATCCAGAGGGAGGGGAGCAGCAAACTGTGGCATCTCGGTAAGGAGATGAGACAGCACAGCACAGCGCAGGCCTGGGAGCTGCTCCTGCAACCAGGAGCAAAAATCCTTCCCATGGAAATGCAATAGCAACAGCTGCCTGCAAGGCAGGGCTGTGCCAGCTCTCCCCTTCCCCTCTCAGTGTGTGCAGAGCAGGAGCACAGGTTGACTCTGTTGTGCCTGGAGATTTGGCAGCGCTCAGCTCCAGCCCCCGGATGGCCAGGATGGATTTTGTGCAACGTGCAATATTCATTTCAGATGATTTTGCATTCCCCAAATGCCTGCAGGGCCCTTTCCTCCCCATCCCACACTGTCCATTTGGAGGGACCCAACCCCAAAGCAACCACTTGGCCTGGCCCAATGCTGCAGGAGGAACCGATGCTGGAAAACACTGCTGTGTGATGCAGCTGCCTGCAGCCAGACATGTCCAAACATATCCTCAATCTGCTGGGGCCGGGGGAACTGCTGGTCCAGCCTGAAAACAGATGCACGGAGGCTTTGCACAAGGAGGATCCCACTGCCAGCATCCCCCCCCCCCCTGCTGCAAAGGTGCCCACAGCCCTGCAGAAGTGCTCAGTGCATCGCCTGCCATCACGCTGCCATCTCCTCGCACCCCAAGCACCGTGTTTGCACCCTCACTGCCCAAATCATCGTGTCGGGGCAGTTTGCACCGTGCTGATGGTGCTGCAGCACCCGAACACCACGCAGCCCAACCCTGCTGGAACCCCGTGTGAGCCGTGCTGAGCTCAGACCTTCCCTGCTGCAGGTTGGGGGGACATTTTGCAATGGGGCCAAACGTCCCTGCGGCTGATCTGCAGCTCGCTGCATGCAGGACATGCACAGGCTTGTTCCTGCTGCTTGCTGAGCTCAGGCCAACTGCTGCTCCCCGGCCCGACTCACTGCTGGGGGGTCCGCTGGCGGAGCAAAGCCCCCCCCCCGGGGCAAAACTCCCATATTAGCACCCTGGAACGGCCCTGCAGGGCCGGAGCTGAGCCCAGGGAGCATCACCTGGAGCCGGACCCCCTCACACCCAGCCCCTGTGACTCCCCCGGGGCTCCCCGTGATCGCAGCATCCCGCGTGAATTCCGCGCTGCGGTGACCCAGGAGGGGCCGCGATGGGATGCGGGATCCCCAATCTCAGCAAAGCCGTATTGAAGTCACTGCGCGTCCTCCCGCATCCCTTGGAGCGAAGGGGGGGGGGGTCCCGCATCGCGCTGGAGGCGACGCCCCGCGTTCCATCTGGGGATCCGCGCAGCCCCGATGGGGCGGGGGGTCCCCGCACCGGGGGATGGGAATCGCCGAACCCCCCCGATAACAGCAGCTGTGCGGGCGGGGCGGGGCGGGGGGGGGAAATCCCGGGCGACGCCGTGAGGCCCCTCCCTGCCCCGCTATAAAGGGCGAAGTGCGGCTCCGGGAACCGCAGAGTGACGCGGAGCGCGGGGTGAGTGCGGGTGTGCGGTGCGGGGGGGAGGAAAGGAACAGAACAGCGACAGGGGGTGATTTGGGGGGACGGGGGGTGGGTGATGAGGTGCTGCGTCCGCTCCGGTGTTGCGGGAGCTGCAGGCGGTGCCGGCTCGGGTCCGGGACACCGCAGCCGGGTTCGGGTGCCGGGTTGCGTTCCTTGGTTCCTTGCCGGCGTCCCTCGGAGCCGCTCCGTTCCGGGCTCAGCACGGCGCGGTCGCTCCGGGAGCGGCGGCGATGCGATGCGGTGCGGCGGTTCCTCCCGTGTGCGGGGCTGCGCTGAGCGCTTCGTGCGGAACCGAACCGGACCGGGTCCTCCCACCCTATTTCCCCCCCCCACCTGCCGAGGCCGCAGGAACATGCTGAGACTTGCCTGGCGCTGAGCTCAGCCCGCTGATAGGAAGCGGCTGTTTTGATGCGGGGTGGGGGCGATGCTTCGCCATTGGGGGCTGGGAGGGGGGGAGGGGGGGGATGTGGGGGCGGAGCGGCCATTGCGGGCGGTGGAGCGGAGAGGTGGGGTGGGTGGGGGTGGGGGGTGCGCACCTGCGTGACCCCAGCTTTGGGTGGGAGGTGACAAAAGCTGCTGTGTCACTTAGCAGCACCAGCCTCGCACCACGCAAATCCGTGTGGTTTTGTGCCATTAATGCATTTCTGCCCGGATTTGATGTTTTTTTTTTTTTCCCCCTCTTCCCCCCGCCCGTTGTACAAAAGCATCCCATGCCGGCTTTGCTCTGATAACCGCTCACCCTATGCGGGTCTCTCTGCCCCACGTGTGCTTTGGAAGGAGCGCGCGCTCTTCCCATGGAAGTCAGAGCTGTTGGCATTGATTTGAAAGAAAACAAACAGGCTCCTTCCCCCCCCCCCCCCCCCCCCCCCCCCCCCCCCCCCCCCCCCCCCCGGTTACCCAACAGCTCCTTGCAGACAGGAGGTGCTCAGTGGGGCGGTCAGGCTCGTGGTGAGTTCTTGCACTTGTTTGAAAGGTTTCCTTGCCACTGGGCTGGGTTCTAAAGATGAAGAAACCAACCAGAAAAACAACATCCTCATTGCTTCACCTGCCCCTGTGCCACCCTCGTTTGCTCTGCCCTATGGCCGAGACCATTAACACCCCTCGGTGTGAGCCCAGAATTGCTGGCAGGTCCCATTCTGTGCACAGTTCTGCCCCATTCTCTGCCCTGGGCTCACATTTCCCCCCCATATCCCCCTCCCCACAGCCGCAATGCCGCTGTCGCAGAGCAGGGCCGGGGCGATGCCGTGCAGCAGCAAAGTGTGCAGGAACCTCTTCGGCCCCGTAGACCACGAGCAGATCCAGAACGACTTTGAGGAGCTGTTGAGGCAGCAGCTGGAAGAAGCTCAGCGGCGCTGGAACTTCAACTTCGAAACGGAGACGCCCCTGGAAGGGCATTTCAAATGGGAGAGGGTCCTGCTGGCAGAGCAGCCCTCCCAGGAGGGCTTCAGCTTGGCCAAGGCCACCAGCGGGGCCCCCCCCAAGGATGGTGTCGGTGGGGCTCATCGTGGGGCAGCCCAGCAGAGCTCAGAGCTTGCTAGGGTTGGTTCTCCACAGCGCTTGAAACGTGGGCAGACCACCGTCAAAGGTGAGTGGTGGGGCTGTGATGCCCCTCTGGGTGGTGGTGGGGTGGGTGGGACTGGGTGCACTCACAGCCGTGGACCACCTTTAGTGCATGTCATCTTTTGAGGGAGAAGGCTGCAAACTGGCTGAGGGGTGGGCAGCAGGACTGGGCTCGGATGTCCCATAAATAAAAATACCCCAGAACAGCTCCTGTGGCCAGCAGTCCTTGGGATCAGCAGCGGAGATGTGGTGGGACTGAGTGATGCTGGGCTGCATGAATGTGGGCCTTTGGTGGTGTGATCCCACCTGGTTGGGGTCGGGGTGCTGCCCTGAGAACAGCTTTCTCCTTCTGCTCCCTGATGCATCCCAACTTCTCCTCCTGCCCTGCAGACTTCTACAGCTCCAAGAGAAGAGTTGTCCACGACAAGCCCAAGCTGTGACTGCTGCTGCTGGGGGTGGATGCTGATGCTGACGTGCCCTGGGGGTGTCGTGGCTCTTTCCCTGCCCTGTACTGTCTGAGCTGTCTGTATGAAGCGATGCTGAGTCTGTAGTTCCCTATTTATGAGTAGCTCTGGGCTCCTGAGGGGCCCACACTGTGTGCAATGTATAGGAGGAGCTGATGCTGAAGACTGTGGAAAGGACTGAGGAGGACTGGAATGGAGCCAGTGGGGCTGAGTGTCCCCTGCCTCCCCTGCCCTGTGTTGGTCCTTGCAGCATCCTGGTGCCCAGCACTGCCTGTTGCCTGGCATGGAGCAGCTCCAAAACCCTCACTGCTGTGGATCAGGGCTGGGTGTGAGCCCTGCATGGAGCTGCTCCCAGTGACTCAGCGATGCATTTGTCACAGAGTGGTGACAAACGTGCTGGAGGTGCCCCGTGGGGCCAGCACTGCTCAGGAGGTGCTGGGCTGCTCCAGGCTCTGCTGACCCATGGCTGGTGGTGTTCCTGGCGTGCTGTTGGCTTGCTGTGCCTCATTCAATGCTGACACTAAGCTGGATGGAGAGCTGCTGCTGCTTGGCACTGCCAGGCTGCTCGAGGGGCAGCAGCTGGAAGAAGTGACAGCCTTCTCCTGGACTATTTCCTACTTTAGAGCTGGGGGAGAAGACCCTGGCCTGGCTCTGCAGAGCAGCTGCTGTTGTCTCTGTGACCCAGGGATGTCCTGTAGGATGCAGCCCTGCTCCGAGGCTCTCAGTGCTGTTGGATCTCAGCACTTTCACTGGGTTCCCCTCCTGCCCCTCTGTGCTGGGACTCGAAGTGGCACAGGGTGCTCCCAGGCAGAGGAGGTGGGCGCTGCTCCCAGCTCATACCGTGATGCACTTTGCTGTCAGAGATGCTGGCAGCTGCCCAGCACTAAATGTTTATTTATGAAAACGCTATTGAGGCTTCTTGGAAGGGGAAATACCTGTTTGTCTGTGAGTGTAACTGAATAAACACTTGTCTCATGGAAGGGAATGGGTGGCTGTTCAATGGGAATAACTGCTGTGGAGTGTGGGGGGGATGTTGTATGTGGGTTGGGAGTTGCTTTAGGGGTGCAGCACCCACAGAGCTGTAGTTTCTATGGGTCTAATGGGGAAGGAGCTGTCACATATCTGCGTGATGGGTTGGGGGTTTGGGATGTCCAGCTGCGGGATGGAGCTGCTGCCAGCGAGGACAGGAATGGGGGCTTCTCCTGTGGGTCTGGGTGGGTTGGGGTCCGTGGCTGAGCCCTTTGTGGTGCTGCAAACAGGAAATGTGTGCGTACCGGCAGTTGAGTGCAACCCCAAAGCGGAAGGCAGCCTTGAGTAAGAGAGAGAATGACGGTGTGGGGCCGGGAGGTGCGCAGCAGCGATGCAGCCTGCGTGGGGCTGATGTCCCCCCGACCCCGGGGAGCCCCACGGTGCAGCCAGGCAGCAGCATCCCGAAACTGAGGGCACGTGGAGAAGGTGAGCCTTGCTCAAGGGGTGCCTCCTGCTAATAGAAAAGCAGGGGAAAAGAAAGGGGTTTTGGTTTTAGGGATACAGGGTCGGTGCCTGGCCCTGCACCCGTGGGGCTTTTGGCAGCGGTGACCCTCCTGCTGCCCCTCGGCAGGAAGCATCTCAGACAGCCGCCGGTGTTTAAGTCCCTTTGGTATTTATTTTACAGCTTTTCCGTGTTTGGTGCCTCCATTTCATGGCACGCAATGGGCTCAGCTCGCTCTGTGGGGCGGGGGGAGGCACTGAGGGGACTTCCTTGCATCATAACCTCCCCCATCCCCCCCCACAAAATGCTGCTGCTTTGGCTCTCTTAGGGGCTGGGACCACAGAATAGGGTACCCACATCCTGATTCCTCCCCCCTTCCCTCCCTGGGGCTCTGCTGACCTCACAGGACCCCCCCATGTCTGTGGGATGCTGTGGGATGGTGCTGAACGGGAGTGGAAGGGGATGGGGACATTTTGGGGCCCATTCCTTATTTCCAGCACACCTTAGGGCTTAGCATTGCGAAAGGAGGGGTGGGGCAGTGGGGGGTTTCCCCCTCTCCCACTTTTTGTCCCAATTTGGGCACGCTTCAGAGCGATGAGGATGAGAGGGTTGAGGCGGGGGCGTGAATGGAAAACCTCCCCGAGGTCACAGGAGGTGACTCAGGGCTGCGGAAGCTGGGGGAGGAATATTCAGAGATGCTGAGGAGCTCCTGGAGCCTCTCGGTGCCTGCATCACCCCCACGACCCCGCAGTGAGGATGGGTGGGAGCGCAGCGTGGCAGAAGCCACATCCCCCACTTGGGCTGGGCTATGCGCAACCAGAGAGAAGTGCCTCTTTTCTTATTGCCAAACCCACTCGGGGCTCTTCTGAGCTGTTTAATGGGTTCCCCTCTGCAGGACCCCACTGTGAGCCATGGCTGAGCAGCGCGTGGGCTCCAGGGGTCGGCGCATGGGATCCAGCCGGCGGCGGCAGCTCCGTAGGGATGCGGGTGAAGAGCCACCGTGGGCAGCAGCTGTGATGCAGAGAGTCCAGGATGTCATCCAGGAGCAGCATGGGGGCACGGAGGGGTTCATCACTCGTGCAGATATGCAGGTAAGGGATGGGGCTGGGGGGGTTGTAGGGTTCCTTCCAACACAACTGTTCTACGGTCCTTTGTGTTTTGTTCTTAGAAACTGCAGGAGGAGATTATCCCGTGCAGCACAGAGGAGCTGGAGCTGCTCTTTGATGGGATGGATGCTGCTGGCACCGGGCAGCTGAGCACTGAGGAGTTCAGTGCTGGGCTCCGTAAGTGCCAGCATGGTGTCTCCATGCACCCAGTGCTTTCCAATGGGGATGCTCAGTGTTCTGGGTGGCACTCAGCAGCCCGAAAGCACCTGTGGCTGTGAGCCCACTGGGGTGGGAAGCACTGGGATCCGGGTGCTGAGGGCTGTGTTTCTACAGGGCAGTTCCTGAGTTCCCAAAAAGTCAGCAAGGAGCATCGGCGGCGGAAAGCAGCGTCACGGAGGAGCTGCCTGGTCCTCGCCAGCCCCACGTGGGAAGGGATGGACAGCGAGGAGAAGAAACACTTTGCAGCCTTCATGGAGCAACTGGGAGTGGATGACAGACGGGAAGAGTGAGCAAAGCACCCCTGAGTGTCCCGCAGGATGGGACAGGGCAGGGCTTTCCCCAGTTTGGTGCCCACATGGGCAGGGCCGGAGCTGCCTTTGTCCCAAGGGCAGGAGCACGGCCACCCCCAGGACCACACAGCCCCAATGATAGGGACCCCCAAATGATCCATCTTTTCTTGCTGCCCTGCTCCTCTCTCCCGGCAGGCAAGAGATCTGGCAGCTCTGGGCCAAGCTGAGGGAGGACGAGCCCCAACTCCTGGGCAACTTGGAGGATTTCCTGGCCAAGATGAGGCACCGCATCCAAGAAGCCCGGAGCAAGAAGGAGGCCTTGGAGGAGGCCCTCAACAAGTGAGTCCCTGCCAGGGATGTGCACCCAAGGAGGGAGAAATGTGGGCACTCCCAGCACCTCCACCACAGCCTGGGCAGAGGATTCACACTGTGCCCGTGTTTGGGGTTGGGCTCCATCTGCAGTCACGCACCCCATGGCCAAAGTGTCAGAGACATCCCTGCTGGGGGAAGGAACCTCCGTGCTCTCTGTGGGTCTGGTGGGCAATGCAGTGTCCCCACACCCACATCCACACGGCACAGTCTGACCCTCCTGACCTCCCACCCCCCCCAGACGCGTGGCTGAGCACAAACAGGAGGTGCAGCAGCTCTGCGAAGCCCTGGAGCAGCAGATCCAAGAGGAGAGGCAGCGAATGGAGCAGGAGGTGGGGGATCCATCCACTCCCTCCCCATCCCAAAGATACCCAGCACCCCAAACCCAACTGGGTGCTGATGTTCCCATTGACACCGCAGAGCTCAGCCCGGAGCCGCCTGCATTGCCAAGTGCTGCAGCGAGCTCTGGATGCCAGAGACAGGGAGGTGCAGCGCTTGCTTGCAGCACAGGAGGAGGTGAGCTGACCCCAAATGCTGACCCCAAACCCTGATCCCGAATACTGGTGATGCAGTTCTTTATGTTGTCCTCATGCCTTTGGCCTGCTGTTGTACACCTGAACCTAGATGCTCTCTGCAGTTCATCACGTAGCACCTCCATCGCTCACTCTCTGCCTCCATCCCCACGGTCCTTCCTTCCTTGGGAGCACATAAACTGAGTTTCCCACCCAATACCCTGAGAAAAGTCCAGCCCCAGCCCTAGAGCAGGAGGTGATCCTGCTGTCTCCCTGCAGCTGGAAGCGCAGTGCTGCAATCTCAGCAGCACACAGCGAGCTGCCAGTGCTGAGAATCGACAGCTGGAGGAGAACAACCGGGCGCTGGAGGAGCAGCTGCAGCACATCCATGCACAGCTGCAGCAGAGCCACGAGTGCCTGCAGGCTGCCATGGCTCAGCAGCGGGCAGAGAAACCACGGTGAGTGGCTTCTGCTCACATCTGACTCCCTGCTGGGAGTTGCAGCGGATGGGGAGCAAGCTGTGTGGATCTCAGCCATCGTTTTGCTTTGGGATGGTGTGAAAAGTGTGGGGATGTGGTATGATTTGGTACAAAAAGTACTAGGAAGAGAAGTCAGGATTATCAGCATTGTGCTGATAGGGCCCTCCCAGCACTGGTGCAAAAGCCACGGATGGGCTCTGCTGTCCCAGTCCTGAGCAGAGCAGAGCACATCACTGCTTCCAGGGCTGCACAGGACCCCGGGGAGGGGATGGAGGAGGTGAAGGGAGGCAGTTTCCATTTTGACCCCTTGCTCTGCGCTTACAGGGATGAAGTGGAGGCAGAGCTGCCCAGTGAGACACTGCCATCCCCGCAGGTACAGCAGGTGTGCACAGAGGGGATGTGGTGGGATGTCACACAGGGCAGCACTGTGCTGCGTGGGTGCTTGGGAAGGGGTGAGCGGCAGCATACGGGGCTGCTACCCCCACATTTTGGGTGGGAATATCCGGAAACTGAAGCAGGAAAGCTGAGCATCATTTCAAACGGATACACACTCTGCCAAGCTTTGTGTTTTCTCTTCTCTTTTCCTCCCTTTGCCACAGATAAGCCCAGAGCAGCAGTTGTCGGAGATGCACGTCAGGTTGGGCTCCCAGGGCAGCGAACCCAAACACAGAAGCACCCACCACGTGTAAGGGTCCTGGCCCCCAGGAGATGCACCCACATCCTCCACCCTCCCCCAGCCAAAAATTCCTTCCCATTCAGTGCTCTGTCCCAGTGCTGTGCTCACCCCATTTTCTGCTCTTTCCAGGGTTTGGGAAAAGCCAGCAGCAGACACAAACACATCACGACTGCTCTCTGTAGAAGAGGATCCCTTCCCCGAATTTCTGAAAGAGGAACGGTTTTCTGGCCAAGGCTCTTTGCTAAGAGAGATGAATGATGCAATAGCAGCTCTGAGCAGGCAGAAGCTGCAACCCCTGGGAGATGCTGCTCACTGCCCACACGATGATGCTGAGCCCCAAACAGGACCACCTGGCTCAGCCCCACCAGAGACCCACATCAGTCACAAGGTGTTGGAAGAAGACCCAAGAGAGGGACGAGCTGCAGCTGAGCTTCGTGCTGGGGACAGGACACAAGCTGGTGCGTCTGCAGGAGCTCAGGAGGAGGGGGCAGCTCAGGGATACAGCGTGGAGAGAGCAGGGCAGAGCCTGGAGCAGATGGAAAGGGTGTTGTCTGTGCAGGGAAGGGGTGCTGGTGGGGAGCAGCAGGTGCTAAAAGAGGTTGAGAGCCCACAAGAGGCACTGGGAGAGAGCACAGAGGTAGGTGAGCAGGCACGGGTGGGGTTGGAGGGAGAAGGATGGGTGCAGGGAAAGATGAAGTGGGAAAAGATGCAGATCCTAGGAGAAGGAGAAAATTTGGAGGCAGTCCTCAAAGGTCGGGAGGTGGAGCTCCCAGTGGGCAGCTTTGCCACCGATGTGCTTCAGGTGCCAGGAGAGCAGCTGGAGCCACAGGTGCCAGGATGGGTTGAGGTGCAAATGGCAGCAGTGAGAGAAGCTCCCAACCCTAAAAAAGTGGATGGAGAGGATAGTGGTGCAGTAGGGAACTGCTGGGGAAAGGTGGAAAGGACTGAGCTGCAGCCCCTGAGTGTGGATGATGACCTGGGTACAGAGCAGGTGGAGAACGTGGGACTAGATGTGCAACTGCTGGAGGAGGCTGATAGAGCAGAGCCAGGGCTGGAGGGGGGAGCTGGGGCTGCTGCAGTGCTTGGTGATGGGCTTTCCACAGCAGAAATCCCTGCAGGGAGCCCAGCTGATGGGCTGGTCCTGGTCAGTGCTCAGGGACTGGAAATGGAAGAGGCAGAAGACTCTCCAGCAGAGACTCTGCATGGGATTCCCAGCCCAGAACCCCTGAGGGGTGGATTGGATGACACAGCCATGCATCTCAGGGAGGATGCTGAGGATGTGGGACAAGAACTGACTGAGCCTGGGCTGCTCAATCAGACTGTGTGTGACCTGCAGGAAGCAGAGGCTGGGCAGGCAGAGGAGGCTACTATAGAGCTGTCAGCCCAGGAAAAGGCTGGAAGCCTGGAGCTGCTGGAGGCCCCGAGCAGTGATCCCCATGTGCAGCTAATTGCAAAGCTGGGGGAGGTTAAAGAAAGCCTGGAGGCAGAGCTGCAACTCCTGAGTTTAGTTGATGACCTGGGTACAGAGCAGGCAGAGAGTGTGGAGCCAGATGTGCAACTGCTGGAGGAGGCTGATAGAGCAGAGCCAGGGCTGGAGGGGGGAGCTGGGGCTGCTGCAGTGCTTGGTGAGGGGCTTCCCCCAGCAGAAATCCCTGCTGTGAGTCCAGCTCAGGTGCTGGAAATGGAAGAGGCAGAAGACTCTCCAGCAGAGACTCTGCTGCATGGGATTCCCAGCCCAGAACCCCTGAGGGATGGATTGGATGACACAGCCACACATCTCAGGGAGGATGCTGAGGATGTGGGACAAGAACTGACTGAGCCTGGGCTGCTCAAACAGACTGTGTGTGAAATGCAGGGAGCAGGAGCCAGGCAGGCAGAGGGGGCTGCTGTAGAGCTGTCACCCCAGGAGGAGTCTGGAAGCCTGGAGCTCCTGAAGGGTCTGAGTGGTGATTCCCATGTGCAGCTGCTTGCAGAGCTGAAGGAGATCAAAGGGAGCCTGGAGGCAGAGCTGCAACCTCTGTACCCAGGTCACCAGCCACACTCAGAGCAGGGAGAGAGCGTGGAGCCAGAGGTGCAACTGGTAGGTGAGGTCAGTAAACAAGAGTTAATAGAAATGGAGGGGGAAGAGGAATCTCAGGTGGACACGCAGCTGCAGTGGGGTCCCAGTCAAGAAGTGCCATTGGGAGGGGGAGGCCATACAGCTGCGCAGCTCACACAGGAGGTTGAGCATGAGAGACAAGATGTACAGCACTTCAAAGGAGAGAGGGAGATGGAAGCGGTGCAGGAAGAGGGCACTGATAAGGATGAGCTGGTCCTGGTCAGTGCTCAGGGACTGGAAATGGAGAAGGCAGAGGACTCTCCAGCAGAGACTCTGCTGCATGGGATTCCCAGCCCAGAAACCCCGAGGGATGGATTGGATGACACAGCCATGCATCTCAGGGAGGATGCTGAGGATGTGGGACAAGAACTGACTGAGCCTGGGCTGCTCAATCAGAGTGTGTGTGACCTGCAGGAAGCAGAAGCTGGGCAGGCAGAGGAGGCTACTGTAGAGCTGTCAGCCCAGGAAAAGGCTGGAAGCCTGGAGCTGCTGGAGGCCGCGAGCAGTGATCCCCATGTGCAGCTAATTGCAAAGCTGGGGGAGGTTAAAGAGAGCCTGGAGGCAGAGCTGCAACTCCTGAGTTTAGTTGATGACCTGGGTACAGAGCAGGCAGAGAGTGTGGGGCCAGATGTGCAACTGCTGGAGGAGGCTGATAGAGCAGAGCCAGGGCTGGAGGAGGGAGCTGGGGCTGCTGCAGTGCTTGGTGAGGGGCTTCCCCCAGCAGAAATCCCTGCTGGGAGTCCAGCTCCAGGTGGGATGGTACTGGTTAGTGCTCAGGAGCTGGAAGGAAAAGAGGCAGAGTCACTTGTGCAGCTGGAGGAGCTCACGTTATCCCATGGAGAGAGCATTGGGGCTGATGGGAATCCCCTGTGTGCATCAGGGCTGTGGGAAGGGGCAGAGAGCCCAGCTGTGGCTCTAGAAGCAGCTCTGTGCATGGCTGACAACACAGACGTGTGGGATAGGAATGTTGAGCCTGCCGTGCATCCTGAGTATGCTGCTGCTGCTGAGCATGCTCATCCAGAGGCAGGGCTGGTAGCAGTCAGTGGTCCAGATGAGCAAATCCTGGAAGAAACCCAGAAAGAGAGTGCTGATGCAGAGGGGAGGCCTCTGGATGGAGCTCGAGGTCTGGAAGTGGTGCAGGGAGCGAGGCTAGAGGCAGAGGCAAGGATTTTAGTTGGAGCTCAGCATTTGGAACTAAAGCAGGGCCATGATGCCAGTGCAGCCACACTTGCTTCTCCTGTCTCCGAGGTACCGTTACAAATCAGTGCGCTAAGTCTGGATGCGATGATGCAGGAGGATGTTCTCATTCCAGATATGCAGCGGCTAGGTGCTTCGGGACAGGCAGCCCAGAGGCAGCTCCAGGAGCAGGTCTCAGCACAGGCAGATAAGGGGAGGCTTCACACTGCTCCCCGGCAGCCACAGAAGCCACCAGGCGTGACGGAAGCAGAACAAGCAGCTGCTGGACCTGCTGAGACTGCAAAACAAGAAGTGCCACCAGCATCATCCCTTCACACACGGATCCTCCAAGGGGAAGATGCTGTGAAGGATCTCTCAGGGATGGCCCTCGGGGACAGCTTACTGGTGGAGGCGGTCAGCAGTGGGGCACAGTTCTCAGGAGAGCAGAGAGAAGAGCTTGATGTGGAGAAGAAACAAGAGATGGAGAAGAAAATGAGCCCAGGAGGTGAGCCCAGCCCTGGAGAGCCAGAGGCTGTGACTGTGAATGGAGAAGGAGCTGCCCCAAAGGGCTCTCTGGAGCCGGACCACCTCTACAACGTGCTGTTTGTTGGGGACTCCCATGTGGGCAAAACATCCTTTCTGTACCGACTGCATGCTGACACCTTCAACCCGCACCTCGCTGCCACAGTAGGTAGGTCAGCTCTGCACCCACGTGGGTGACCATCACGCTTCCCTTCCTTCCACCCCACAAGTTGCTGGAGGTCATTACAGGCACATCACTGCTCACACCATCCTGTCACCAAGGTCCAAACAGAGCCACACACACCTGGATGCTTGCAAGTAGGTGATGCTTGCAAGTAGGCAATGCCAGCCCTCCTTGACCTCTCTGGGGCACCAATATCCAAGGGTTGTGGGTTTCCTTGGGAGCTGTAGTCTCCACCATGTGATTCCTCCTTCCATATTACAGAAGGGAAACTCCACAATATCCAAATATCCCTTTCTGTGTCCCAGGGCTGGATTATCAGATCAAAAACCTCGTGGTGGACAACAAGCGCTTCGCCCTCCGCCTGTGGGACTCAGCTGGGCAGGAAAGGTGAGGTGCTGTTCTGGGTGCCTGGGGAGAGCAACCTCGGGGCAGCTTATAGAAAATAGATGTTCTTGCTTTGCAAAAGGGATTGTTTGGGGAGGGACTCTATATAGCATGTGGTCTGATAATAATAATATTAGAGGAAGTAATTTGGATAAAAATAAGCGCTCAAACTCTCTGCGGTTTGAGTGATAGGAGCAAAAACAGGGTTTGGCTTTCTTGGCTGATCTGCGTTCCCAGCTTTTCCACTGGGATTTCAGGTTGGTCGTAGGCAATCCCTCCTCCCTCCCTTCGTCCCTCCCTCCCTCCTGGTGATGCTTTGCACTGCCTGCAGGTATCACAGTGTCACCAAGCAGTTCTTCCGGAAGGCAGACGGGGTGGTGCTGATGTACGATGTCACATCGCAGTACTCCTTCGCCGATGTGCACTACTGGCTCAGCTGCATCCAGGTGGGCAAAGCAGGGAAACCTGGCCCCATGAAAGAGGTGTTGGTAGCATTTTACATGCTAGAATAGCCCCTTTTCAGTCCTGGGAAATGGGGGTAACTCATAGTTATCGGCCCCAATCCATGCGCATCCTTCAGGATGTGTCTGAGCGGTGCGTCCAGCTGTGATTCAAGGAGGTGATGCTTGTGCTTCTGATCCTCCCCTCTTTCATTGCCCAGGAGGGAGCAGAAGATGGAGTCACGGTTCTGCTACTGGGGAACAAAACAGACTGTGCTGCAGAGAGGCAGGTTCCTACGCAGGAGGGGGAACGCCTGGCTCAGGTGGGTGCATGGCCCTGCTGCAGTGTGTTGCCCAGCTGGGATCCCATTCCTCAGCACTAAATGCTGGTCTTGCAGCCACCACAAAAGGTGCATTGTACCCTCACGCTACAGTCCATCAGTTATTGAGTTACTTGTTTCCCAACTCCTTCTGTTTCTGCTTGACCATGATGCTCCTTGGCTATTTACTGTTGTATTGAGTCATTGCAATGCAAGGGAAGCACATTTCTCTGTGGGCTCTGTGTCTTCCAGGAGCATCAGCTCTTGTTTTATGAATGCAGCGCTGCCTCCGGCCACAACGTCACTGAGTCCATCGTCAGCCTGGTCAGGTGAGGAGTGTGCTTGGGTTTTGCCAAGGTTTATTGGGCTCCCACCTGCATTTCCTATGGGAAATGTTAGTGTGTCACTGCCACCGGAGCTTCGATGTGAAGAGCTCACAGAGCAGCACTGGGATGAAGTGGGGATGTGCTGGGAGACATCTCCTGGGTGCTCTGCATTGCAAAGAGGTGGAAAAAATAAGACTTCTCGGGATGCTGCTGCTTTCTCCCTGGGTTGCTTAAATCAATTCTGTCTGTGATTGGATTTAGGCTGGGGTTTTCAGCAGTCTGCAGTTCTCAAAGCACACTGAGCTGGAAAGGCCCCTGGCCCCTTTCACTCAATGAATATAAGAGCAATATAAAATACGGGGGAAAATGCATGGCTCATTTGCTTCCTTTTTGCCCAGGGCACTCAAAGTTTGTGAAGATCAATTGAGAAATAAGGCAGAAGAGGAACCAAAGCTGCCTCAGAAGAAAAAAGGATGCTGCTGGTGATGGCGAAAGTCTTTGCTGTGGTCTGAACCTGCAATGGCAGCCAGAAAAGCAACTGGAAATGAGCAGAGACCACAGGATGACTGCTCGGAGAAATCAGGGTTATGAATTCCACCAAGGAGGGTGTGATATTGCAGTGACAGCAGCTGAAGAAGCAACGTTAGCTCCAGCAGCTCTCTTAGACACGTGCATCTCCTTTGCAACTCAGTGCCTCAGCACCTCTGTGTCACCAGAGCCTCCATCCCCTACCTGGCTGCTCCCACCCCATCCCTCTGCCACCGCCTGTTCTCCCTTGGCCCTAATCCTCGAAGGACCTTTTTTGCTTGATGCAATATAGGCTCCCATGCACTCCATGGCAATCCCCTTCTGCCACATTTTGTTATAAAATGATTTTATTACTGGGTGTGTTATGGGGCTGGCTTGAACAACTCAGGAAGAACTTTCATGGCTCAGCTCAGGGCTGAGGCCGGACTCGATATTCAGGATACCCACAGCAGGATTTTTTTTTTTTTTTGTGCCCATCTTCACTATTTCTGCTTTGTTGTCTTATCTTAAAGCAATATAATCCCAAGCACCTTTTGCAAGTCTGGTCAATGATGAGAGGAGCATCATTCCAGCCTGGCCAGCTCAAATGGGCACCTCTCACTGGCTCTGCATGACCCCCCTGCAGAGCTGCCCGTGCACCGAAGCCCTTCAGCAGATCTGCTTTTCCCCTTCCCTAAATTTGCTGGGATTATGAGCAGCAGATGCTGCCTGTCCTGTGCAATCCCACTGCCGCTCCACAAGCAATTTTATTTGCTCGCAAAAGTGTAAGGAGCTGAGCCTTAATTCCCCCGTTAGATGGCAGCAAATGCGGCTATACCTTCATTGCTGTTCCAAGCAAAGAACAGCAGGGCCTGAAAGTGATCTGCAAAAGAAAAAGCTTCGCAGAGCAGCAGACAGAAAGAAACGTCTGTTCTCTTGGAAATCATGTCTGTAGAAGAAGACTGAATCTGTGCCTGGACGTGTTGCAAGGCAGTAAAGCAGGTTGGAAAACACAGAGGTGGTGTTGGTCTCTGTTCTCAGTGAGAGGATGCAAGGAAATGGGCTCGAGCTGTGGCAGGGAGGTTCCAGTTGGGTATCAGGAAGGGTTCCTTCACAGAGGGGGTGGGCAGGGACTGACGGGGCTGCCCAGGGAGGTGGTGGAGCTGACATCCCTGGAAATATATAGGAAATACATGGATGTGGCACTTAGGGACATGGCTTAGCATAGGACTTGTAGAGTTGGTTGGACTCGATGATCTCAAAGGTGTTTTCCAACCTAAATGTCTGTGATTCTATTCTATGATTACTGAACCATAAGGATGCTCGCTTGCAAACACATTCATGAGTATTTCAATGAGGATCGAGGTCTGAGATATGAACAGCAACAGGGAAATGCACGTTTGGACCACAGGAATGTGGTTCTTTTAATGAGGTTCTTTCCCTTTGAGCTCTCCAAGCCGCCCCACAAGGAAGAGAGGAGCTGCCCAAGTTGCATCAAGAATGCAGACCTCATTGTCCAGCCCCAGGTCATCAGGTGTCCACCACCACTTTGCTCTGTTTGAGAGCCTGCAAACTGGAAGGGATCCTGACGTGTTGGGACAAATTGTGTGAGGAGTGCCAGGTGCCAGCTTTCAGCAAAGCCAGCATTTGCCTGTGAATGCCCAGCTGTAATCCTGAAGGATTTCCCTCCAGTCCCCTGGCGTGCTAAAGCTGGAATGGAGAACCTCCCTACATCATCAGCTGGGGTTGGGAAGGCAGGGAATCCCAACAGAATCCTTGCAGTGTCTGATCGAGCTGCAGAACTCATTGCTGTTGGGTCCGAGAGCTGGAATGAGGCTGAAATGGGGACCTGAGAGCAGCAGATACCAAAGCCAACCCACGATCGTCATAGCTGGGAATGGCTGGGGGGTCGGGGAGCGGATTGAGGGCTGCAGGGGTGCCTTGATGGAGGGCACACAACGTCAGAAGGGCATAACAATATAAAAGAGCATCCAGAGGAAGGCTGTGAAGGTGGGGAAGGGTCTGGAGGGTGGGACAGGAGGGTGTTTGGTGGATGGTTGGACTGCATGATCTCATAGGTCTTTTCCAACCTTGGCGTTACTGTGATTCTGTTTGGCTGGAGAAGAAGAGGCTGAGGGGAGATCAGCCTGGGGGGTGGGAGGTGAAAATCAATTGAGAAATAAGGCAGAAAAAGGATTTTCCTTTTACAGAAGGAAAATCCTCCCCCTCCCTTCACCCCCCCCCTCCGCCGGAAGCAGGAAGCAGAGGCCGGGCCCGCCTCCACCGCGGGCGGGAGGAGCCCGGAGCCGGGCGGCGGAGCGGGGTGAGGCCGGGGGCGGCGGGGGGGCGCGGGGCGGGCGGGAGACGGGGAGGGGGGGCGGCCTGGGCCTGGGCCTAACTAAGCCTAAGCCTAAGCCTAAGCCTAGGCCTAAGGGCCTCTATGGGCCGCGCGGGGCCATCGAGACGTTTTCTCTCTGTTGATTTAATTCTAATAATTTATTATTATTTTTTTAAAGCCTGGACGTTGATTCTCGGCAGTCAGCGATAGCCGTGTTGTGGCGGTGGGATGCAGGCCTCGTTCTGCGCACGGTGCATCCAGCACCCAGCGCTGGGCCTGCTGAGCAGTGTGTAAATCTTCCCACAGCCTTTCCCTCCTCAGGGTTTTTCCCAACAGCTCTCCTTGCTAAATATTTCTCTTTTTAAAACCCTTCGTTCCCAGCCCTGTGGGCACAGTGCTGGGTTTGGCTGTTTGTTGGGACGACGTGTGGCTGCTGCCCGGCCCTGCGGTCACCAAGCAGTCCCTCGAGGGCTGGCAGAGTTCATCAAAAATGGCACAAAACGTCTGGATGTCGTGCTGGGAAGGCCTGCCCTGAGAGGCTGCTGTGAATAAGGCCCGCTCAGTGTGTGTGTGATCAGCAGCACGTTGCATACAGTGGCCTCTTGTTGTTATTTTCTCGGCCTGGTTGTGCTGATAGGAAGGAGCATAATGGATTGTTATTTATCTTTGTTTTTTGTTTTTTTTTAAGGCTTCGTCTGTTCTCAAAACGATGTCTTCAGTAGTGTCTCGTGTCCCGGTTGAGGATGCAGTTTGCTGTTGGGTTTGCCAAGGAGTTATGCAGGGCTTTTCACTGCCTGTAACTCGCAGGGGTTGTCTGCAAATGTGCTTGCTCAGAGCTGAATACAAAGGTTGGGGTGGAGAGAGCTAAGATCATAGAATGGCCTGGGTTGAAAAGGACCACAATTGAACATCTATTTTCAACCCCTGTGCCATGTGCAGGTCGCCAGTCAGCAGACCAGGCTGTCCAGAGCCACATCCAGGTTAACATTGAATGCCTCTGGGGATGGGGCATCCACAACCTCCTTGGGCAGCCTGTTCCAGTGTGTCAAGATGTGTCTCAGCAGTTTACTATAGCAGGATGCTTCTGCTGTTTGGAAAGGAGGATGCTGCTGTGTTTGACAGCATTTCTGTAGGGATAAGTGTGGAAGCAGCTCCAGGCAGATCCAGCAAGCAGAGGAATTCAGCACTGGAGAGCTTCACAGGCAAAAGTTTTGGCAAAAGTAAGAGCAAGAGGAAGCTAGATAACCTGTCACATACCAGTTGCATTGTCAAGGCAACGTAAAAGCTGAGGGGGAAAAAAGGCATTTAATATCATACAGATGTGCTGGCTCTTTATTACATAAATGAAAGAGTTAGTAAAGCAGTGCATTGTTTTTATAGAGCTGAGTGCATGCCACGTGCTGTGCTGACCAGAGGAAAAGGTCCCTGCCTTGGGGAGCTTACAGTCCATAACGATATATTGACCAAACCTGCTTCTGGGCAGCTTTGCCAGCCCATGAGTCTGCTCAGGTAGTGAGATTTGGAACAAATGTTTGCATGAAATGGAAGGAATGGTGGCAGAACAGGGCTGGGAGGTAATTAACCCAGCAATGCAGTGCAGTATGTTCTCCTTGTGTGCTTTGAGTTCAGTTCTTTTTTTTTTTTTTTTTTTTTTTTTAAATATATATTCTTTTGGTGTTTCTAAAGCTGTAGTTAAATATTTGACAGTGCTGTTGCTATAACATCTGATGTGAAGTGTCTGAGTAAGGTGTATAGGCAGCTGCTGACTAAACAAGGTGGGACTGTTCTCCAGCAAGATGGTTTTCCTGATCTGATTCACTGTGTGGCCACGTAAATGTGCAAGAGTGGAACATGGATGTTCTTGGGATGAGTGAAGCAGTTGCAGAAGCTGGTAGTATTGCTGGTTTTGATCTGTTTTGTTTTTCTCTGGAACAACATCCTAGCATTGCAGAAAAATATTAGAAGTGCTGTTGTTTGAGTTCTGGTTTGTAGAAACCCATAGAAACCCACAGTTTGGGGTGAGAATTCTCAGCCTGTTCTGTGCAGACAAATCTGCTCCTCTTGGTATTGCAGAGCTCTGCCTTTGTGGCAGACAAGGGGAGCAGCAGAGGAACAGATTTCTTTTTGTAGTGTCTTAACATTGACCACTCATAGGGTGCATTCATACAAGTTCCCTTTGAAATCTCTTTGGGAATCTTTGAGAAGTAAATTGCCGTCAGGTGCCATTTATTGTCTGTCTGTAGCTCACAACACAGTTTGTCCTGCATTTCTGCATGTGGATGACCTGGAGGCAACCCCTCAGTGGGACACAAGAGTTCTCCTGCCTGCAGAGCATGCTGCTATCTTATTACTGTTACTTAATAATCAGTTGGCCTGGACATGAGGTTGCGAAAATTTGAACAAATTGTAAACTGTTGAACTTTACCCTGCACATACAGCTTCTTTCCCTGCCCTCTTCTTATTGCTGATGGGGTATTTAATGAAAACAAATCTATGTTAAAATAAGCAACTACAATTATAGAGGAGGAGAGCTTGGCTTGGCTGCTGTCTGTGGTGATCAGCTTTGTAGTGCTGGCTCTTGTACTCGGTAAGCAGTCACTTTATGGGATGGATCATTTGGAACAGATGAATAAATAGAGTTTCACTGATTTCTGGGAAGTTCTGTTCATTTACATAATCTGCAAATCTCCACCGGTTCTTTTGCTGTTAAGAAATTTTGCTGCTTCTTTCAGTCCCCTGAAGATACCGGCCCAGCAGAGATCATGAGGACTGCAGCTACGTTGTTTCTTTGTGTTCCTGGGATCTTTCTGCACATGCTGGTGTTGAGATGGGTGATTGGAGTGTGCTTTCTGTAATGCATTGAGTCTCTCTCCACAGGGATTTTTCATCGGAGGCCATGGAGCTTTCAGCCAACGAGCTCAGCATCTATGACAAGCTATCAGAGACAATTGATCTGGTGAGACAGACTGGGCACCAGTGTGGGATGTCAGAAAAAGCCATCGAGAAATTCATCAAGCAGCTCTTGGAAAGAAATGAACCCCAGAGGGGCCCTCCCCGCTACCCTGTCTTAGTGGCCATCTACAAGGTAAGGCATCTCTGTGCATGCACAGCCCATTTGAGGCTCTGAATTTTTCCCTTTGCATCTGAACCTTTTGTTTCCCATTGCATTTTCCAAGTTCTTTATTTAAGAAGATGTTAAGGATAGCTTTCTTCTTTCCCTCCATAAGCTGGTTTGAAAATAGAAGGCAACTGACTGAGATTTGGAATTACTTGTGTGAATTGAAAGTTGAACATGTCAACACCTCCCTCTCCTTAAATTATTAAAGAACGAAGTCTTTGGATTGATTTTTCAGGCAACGATTCCAAATGTCAGCACCCACAGTGGAAATGTGAGGAAGGAAGGAGATTCTTAAAGTTCAGGGTTGTATAATGAAGGCATCCAAGTTCTGTTTCTGATTCTGTCCTGAGTTTCCGTCCAACTTTATTCTCCTTCTAGTCCACAAAATGAACCTACTGCCGTGATGCTCGATGAGAGAAAAATGCTTGCAGAAACTTAACTAAAGGATGCTGTAAAAAGCATTCCCAAGTAGGGGAAAGGATGCTATTCTGTTAAGTAGGTAGGAGATGTCACAAGTATAAAGAACTTCTCAGTGGCATAATGTTCAGCGGTGAGTTAGTGTTGTCTTTGCAGAATCATCACAGTGGTTTCCACTTAGAAAAAGTAATCAAGCTGTTATCTTCCTTTCCTATAAAAGCTGTAAAATGAGGCTGGAGAATGGGAAACTGGGGACTTGAACTTCCATCTTCTCTTCTGGATTTTGCTGTTGGTTCACTCTGATTTTGTCTGCTGGGGAGAAATGCGTGGTGTCATCTCTTGAAGGCTCCTTTGGGACTGTGGTGTGGGGGAGGGAGCTGGCACCACCTCTGCCAAAATGTTTCAAGGCTTGACAGATGTTTGCAAAAAGCTTTGAAAACCTTGTGTAAGAGGTATGGTGGAAGTGCAGGCTTTCATTTTTGGTGAGGTGGGAGGAATCGGAACCATCTGTGGATGATCTTCTTTGCTTTGGTGCTGGGTGAATAGCAGCACTGAAATAAATGGACAGAGTTGTGTGGCTCTGTTTTGAAGGCTGCTTAATTTTGGTTTTGGATAGCAATGAAACCGAGTGACATCTTTGTGTATGTAAATAGCACCACGGTTAAGTGAGGATCCACAGTGGAAATTTGGATGTTCATCTTACAGCGCACATCCTCAGCATTCAGGTGTGTCCTGTGCTGAGGACACATCAGCTCACTGCGGTGTAATTAATTACATGCCTGTTTGTTCTTGCAGGGCCTGCTCACACTGGGACTGGTCTTGCTAACTGTGTACTTTGTGATCCAGCCATACAGCCCTCTGCCACCTGAAACTCCACTCTCCAGAGCCCATGCCTGGGGCTCCCTCATCGGTCACATCCGGCTGCTCTCTCTCCCTATTGCCAAGAAGTACATGCTTGAGAGTAAGGAAATCATTTTTCTTCTGTAACAGAAGCCTACTTAATACCAACTTAAATACCATCCACACAGATCACTTGAGTGTCTCCTTGGGTACCAAATAACAAATATGATATTAGATTGACACCACGGTTTTCCCTTTTCTTACCACTGTACTTAAAAATAGCTTCCTGAGTTCTAGCCAGGGCACTTTCCCTTCTATTCACTGGGGCTGAAACATATTTTATCTCTTCACTTCATGATTTTCTTCTTGCACATTCTTGTTTTCTTGCAGTTCTTGGAACCGTGGTGGGATAGCTATGCTGGGTAAATGTCGCCTTTAGGCATACAAAACCAATTTGTTTTCATATTTGTGAACAGAGTGTAGAAACCTCCACATGTGACCTGGGTTTAAGAAAAAGTAGCTTTTGCCAAGTGGCATATTGGGAAAGGACTGTGGGCTTGAGAGCCTACAGTGTTCATAGCAGCTAAAGTAACGTTAGGAATGGTGTGTCTGTGAGGAAGCTAGATGGATTTGTCATGAGATGGTGCTGTCATGGGAGATGGTCATAACAGAAATGGAAAAGTGTGAGTATTTCTCATTCTCAGTTATCATTTCCACTGACTTAGGCTAGCACCTGGCAAAAGCATGGGCTCTGTGAATTATTTTCAGCAGGGCTGTGGCACAGTGCTGATTGTCTGTTGGCTCACTGTAAAAACAAACTCTAGTGGCTGTGCCCTCGGGTGGTTTATATTTAGCATGAGCAGCTCATTGTGTTGGAGCTCTCTGTTTGGGTCTGACCTTCCTGCTGTAGCTAAAAATGCCTCCCTGAAATGCCAGCACCATTCTGCATTCTCTCTCTGTGTCTCCCTGTCTTCCTCTGACGTGTGGCTGGCTGTTCATTTGGGTTTGTATGGGTTGGCTGGGGTATCCCCACTGTTTGCTTCCTCCCTTACTCATTGGGATCTCTCATAGAGAGGAAAAAACAAAGGTGAAGTGGTGGCTCTGATAGCCATTTGACATGAGTGGCCTGCTTATCTGTCAGTGTTTATGTGGGTCTGTGAACACTCCTGCTTCTGTATGCAGAAGGAGACAAATGGAGACTTCTGTGCCCAGGCCTGGGCTACTGGTGTGAAAACCAGCTGATCAAAAAACATCCAAAGGGAACATGAGGTTCTGGGAATCAGGATGTGAGGTGGTTGTTTAAATGCGGGTAAAATCCCTCATACCTCTATGAGTTCTGGAAATCTGTCAAGACTAGGGGATCTTGTAAGTAGGCCTAGCACTTTCCATTTGTATAGAAGACACCATGCAAGGAGTCTACACAGCAAAGGAAAAACAAGACCCAAGTGGCTCAGCGTATGGACTCTTCTTTTGTCCTCTGAGTAGGTCTTTGCTAGATTAATTTTTAGAAGGAGCTGAGGCTGAAACACGGATGAAACTTCTTGTACAAGTCCAGCTTGGGCTGTTCATGCTGAAAGCCACCCATTAGCAGTTTGGAGGCTGCCCTGGCCCACCAGTGGTGCTGGCAGCATTCCCTTGGCCGCACAGCCCAAAGTGGTGTGGACAAAGGCTGGATGCAGCCAGGCTTGTGTGGGTGGCTCATTTCACTTCCTCTGGGGCAGATGGGGGCAGCCTGGCTGCGTGGGGCTGAGGTTTGAGGCTGTGCTGTCCCTCCTGGGCTTGCCCTGGAAGCAGTGGGTTTGAAGCAGTTTTCCTGTTTCCAGGTTTGCAGATTGGAGCTTGTTCCCTTGGAAGATGTGGGCTGGGCAGCCAGGTTTCCCCAAAAGCCAGAGCCCTAAATTAGTGTGATGACAGCACTTTGAGATGAGCAGGGGTGTGGGATGCTGCTCCTCTTCCCTCCAGCTCAGGGTGATCTGCATTCCTCCTAACCTTCATCCTAGTCCCTTCTACCCCAGGAGCCATGCTGTGGATGACAAGGGCTGCCTGTGCCAGTGGCTGTGGGAAGACCTTTGAGCCTCCACCTCACAGCCAAAGTGAAGAGTGCAGTGTGTGCAAAGCTGTGTTTGTTGCATTAGGTTTGTAGGATTGGGTCCAAAGTAAATTTCCTCTTTGACTGTCTTTCTCTTCTGCTCCTTGCCTTCTTTATCCCTCAGATCAATCCCCATATAAAAATTAATGCTCCCACCCTTTGTGGCTTCAAAGCCAACCCTGTATCTTTGGGTTTGGCCCCTGTGCCTCTGTTTCAGCTGTTTTCCCAAGGTTAGGAACCAAGGTCTCTTTGGTTGGGGTAAGGCTGTACACAAATGTGGTTTGCATTTACTCTTCCTGAGCTCATGTTTATGTAGAGCTTGTGAAAACCCCAGTGCTGGGTCACACTGCCTGCTCTGGGCAAGGCGAGTGCCTCTCATCACGTGAGCATTTTGCTTTCTGCTGGACAACTGAGTGCTTCACATTGCACCTATCCCCAGGGAGATGGGAGATTTGCTGACCTTTGGGATCTATGTTTTGTAAGGAACACTGAATTTTGAGCAGGCATTTGGGTTAACAGAGGACTTCCCAGAGAAAGCAGGGCCTATGTAACCTGGGTTTGTTTCTCTTTTCTGGATATTCTGGGATGGAGAAGTTGCTCTATCTGTGTTTCAGTTCTCTCCCTTCAAAGTAGGGCTGTGAGTGCTTCCTTTTCCCTTGCAAGTGTTAGGAGGAAATGCAATGAACTCCTTGAGTGTGTAGTAATAGGTGCCAGGTGAGACACTACATATTTATCAGTGGTTCTTCCCTTTATGATGCAGTTTGACATCTTTATAGCTTTTTTGATATCTAAATATGAATTTAGGTGTCATATTGGTAACTGTTCCTTGCCAACCACACAGAACAATGATGTGGATGAGCAGAGCATGAATTGTTCTTACATTATCTCGTATGTCTGCCAAAGTATGCAAAGTCCTTGCAGCTCAGAAACCTTGGTCAGTGGTGAATAGGCTCTCATCCAACAGTGTGACCATTTACAGGAGTTGTTACCAGCATGTGACGACCTAAAGGAATAGCCAGCTTTGCTTCTAATAATGAGACCCTGTCCTGACCAAATATATCCTACACAGTTCAAAATCAGCTGCATAAATAGCTGCTCATCACCTCAGAAATCAGATGCAAGCGTACATGCAGCTCAGTGTTGGAAAATTGATCCTGTGCAGTTATCCCCAGCTGAGAGATGACTCCTTGTGTTTAAAAACACCTTATAAATGACATGTCAGTATCACACTGGGGGGGCTGTCAGGTGCTTCTGAGAGCTCTTTGTGGGGATGGGTCACAGCAGGCTGGGTTACTGGAGCTGCTCAGCTGGGAGAAGACAGCAGCCTCTGCCTCTTGGCTGGCTACCTTCAATTTGGCTCCAGGCTTGCCTTGGCTCCTGGCCAGGCTCTGGCTTCTTTCTGGACTTAACCCTTTGCAGGCAGCCTGTGATGGGCCAACCACTACCAAATTTCTCTCTGTTCTAAGTTTGTTGCCTCCCCTCTTATTGTAGCCCTGAAGCATGTTTATCCTTGGCTCAGCTCCATGCAAAAAGGGAGCATCCAGCATGCCTGTTTTACCTGAGGGAGAGGTTCTGCTTCCTGAGCTCAGCGTGGGCATAGAATCTAAGCATTCAGTCTGCCTTTCTCAGGAGGTTTTGCAGCCCACGCTGCATCTGACCTGCTGGGTTCACTGATCTGTGAGCCCAAGGAGCATGGATCTGCTTTGAATGAAAGCTTTGAACAAGAAAGCTGCTTGGGACATAAAGTAGGGTCTGATTTCTAACTTGCTTATCTTAATGGTCTAATCACTATACTGCCCTTCTTTCCTGCCTTCAGCACAGCCCTCTCATCTTGCTCACAATGAATCTTTTTTTTTAGCTTCCTGAAGAAGGTGCATTTTGTCTGCTCAAGCTCTTTTGCTCCTCTATCTGTGCATACACTCATGTTCCCACTTCAGGGGCTTGAGCATGTTGAGGTGTATGTGAGCATGACATGGATTGCAGACAGGGCTTGCTTCCATCCTCGTGCAGCTGCCCATTTATCTGATCTGTGTGTATGTAAACATCCTTTTATAACACAACCTGAAGCAGACCAGCAGACACCTGTGTTGGCTCATTCAAAGGGGGATTAAAAAAAGGCTGGCGTTGCAGTGCAGTGAGATGCCAAGCTGTTTTCAAATGCTGCTTTACTTTGGCCTTGGTTCAGCCAGTGGAATGTTTATTTGGATTTGCTGATAGTAAACTGACTCCAACTAACTGGCAATCCAGAACATGAAGAACTCTTCCTGTTGCTTTTGTATTTTGGTGTCTTCAAAAGTTCTTCTCTCCTTGTTTGCAAAGTAAATTCTCATTTTGGTTTACATCCCAGCAAAGAGGGATTGTGCCATGTACAACCTGTTTCAGAGGCATGTAGCAGAGCTCTGTTTGCACTGGTGACATGGGCATGTCAGACCTTCTGCAGATTCAAGTGTCAGACAGGTGGAAGCAACTGAGAGGGATCTGCTTCAAAAGCACACTGTTCCTCCAAGTCAGACACTGCCAGAGCAGCACAGGGCACAGAACCAGAGGTGCAGGTTGTAGTGGGCTTTGGAGGCTTTCCTGACAGCTTCATCCCTGCCTTCAGTTTTGTATATTGGTAGGTGAAGATTTTTCCTGGAAGTGATGCTCTTTTGTCCCACAGAACTGTGAGTTCCTCTTGGGCTGGGCTGAGCAGACTTGATTTCACAATGGCTTGTTGGATCAAAATAATTTTTATGCTTCATTGGAGATTGACTAATCATCCTTCGGTTGTTTGACCAGCCGTTACCCATTAGTGACACGAGGGAGTAGTTCTTTGAGCTGTTGATTTTTCACTCAATTCAAAAATAAGGGTTTATTAATGCATTTACTTGTAGCTGTTATTTTGTTGCTAGCTTTTCCTAAAAATGCTACGAAGCAAGCTGGGAGTTACTTTCTCCTCCAGGCATATGTTCAAAATAGAGCTACAGAAGTGTTCAGTGTGAGAAGGAGGTGAGGATCTTGTGCTGAACAGGGGCCCTCATTGTGTAGTGTATATTTAAAACCTCATTGTGATGCTTTCCTTGATCAGGACTTGTACACTACAACTAGCAAGCATTGTTTATGACTTATTTGGGAACCTACCAGTTTAGCCTGACTTCAAATTGATGTGTAATAATGAATTGATGCCTGTGAACTCCTTCAATTTTTTAAAATATAATTTTAACTTCCCATAAAGTCTGGGAAAGAGTGTGCAGTGATAAGCTTGCTGCTCAAGGAGATACGAGCTGTTTACTTGAGGAGTGTGTATCCATAAGTCTGCAGAGATCCCAACACAGCTGGAGGCCATTCTTGACTCAGAACCAAGGACAGCCTGACCACAACCTGGTGGGGGGTCAGCAAGCTGTGTCCACATCTGCAGTTCTGCATGCAGAAAGGTTTATGTTTGCAGCACTTTGGTAGGGTCCAAAGCTACCCTCGACTCCACCTGTCATGCTGGAGCAAAAGCTTTCCCTGCTAGATGGTTTCCCTCTGAACCACTGCACTAGCAGACTGATACTAGCCTCCTGTCTGGACCCGTAAGAGAGCAGGGTTGTTGCTGAGGTTTGCTGCTGCTCTCACATCTATGTGGGCAAGTTTCCATGAGTTTTATTGCTTCAGTGCAGTGGGCAGAAGCAGGGCCAGGTCTTCTTAGTAACCTCAGAAGATCCAGTGTGATCGTCCCCACCCTGCATCTCTGGGGCTGTGCACACACACCCCTCTGTAGATTTAGGGACAGCCAAAATACTTGGGAGATCCTCTGGTAGTGGCCAAGTAGGGCGGGGTGCACATGTTAAACTGATTGTAAATTGAAAATTATTTCTCTGCATAGTGGAAAGTACAGCCATAAACTCCTGCCAGCATTAATCATAGACGCGTTTTAAGGGAAGTTATCTCTTCATCTGTGCTATGCTGGCAGCTAGAAGTCCACAGCCGTGGTGCTGCTAGGACTTATCCAGGCACAGGGGGGAAGACAGCCCTTGTTCTATAGAGCTAATGAAGAACAAAAGCAGATATTGGGTGAGTGTGATCAATGGGGAGCTGAGGTTCTGTGTAACAAACTGAAAGCTGCTCCTCCAAGGGCGATGAGAAAGCACAAGTGCAGAGGAGAGGTTTGCTGGGACTGGCCCACACTTGTGTCACGTAATGGGTAGTTGAGTGTGTCACTGTTACAGCTGCTTCCCTGCTGCCAGACTCCATAGGGATAACTGCACACACCCAGCACTTCAGTGTTTTCATGTGAGTGGATGGGACCATCGTGTGACGGCTGCGTGGAGATGGAGAGTGCATCTTTCAGTATCCATCCAGGCTGTGTGTGAACAGACAGTTTGCTTGGCTTAAACCAAAATAATCCCCCAGGGTGTCTGGGCAGGGTGATAATGTAAAAGGAATGCAGGGAGTGTAATTGAAAGGGAAGAATAAGCATCCTTGGTAAACCTCCTGCTCTGGTCCCCAGTGTGCAGTTGCGTGCCCTCTCCTCTATGTGCGGTCCCATCTCCCTCCCTCTCTTGGAAGGGCAGGCCCTCCATGCTGCCCATACTTGTCATGCCAGTCACACACATGCTGGTGCACAGACTAACACTCTCAACAATCAATCTAAAAGATTAATTACAAAAAAAAAAAAAAGAGTCCCACAGTCCCACTTGCAGCATTTGAAATGCGTCTCAACTGTGCTTCGCTAGGGTTATTCATGGGGAAAAGAAATAACCTCCTGAATCAAGCAATTGAGAATGCAAATATCCCAGCCTGGCTCAAAGGAGGAATCAAGCTCTGTACTGTCAAAGCTGATTAGCATCCAACTATGTGGGGTGCTGCCTTGAGACCTGGGAGAGAATTTTGGGACGTCTGAGCTTAAAGCTTTGGGATGAGCTCTCTGAGTTTTGCAGAGAAACAGATGATAGTGGTGTTGCTCTCTGCATCATGACAGACTATAAGATATGTTTTCTTGTTCTCTTCATGGTGACTGCCCTTCCTCTGGAGAGATCTTTCAGCCTTTTGTTTCCCATTGCTGACCAGCTGTTTTTTGTGAGTTGAGTTTTTTGTAGTAAAACCGAAGCTTTCTACAGCCAGTGGAACAAAGATTTTCTTTTTTCTCTTGTGAGCAGGGAGGGAAAATGCTTTGGAACAGTTTCTCATGGGAGTGGGACTTCTGCTTGCAATAAGGTTTTTACACTTTGTTTTTCCTTTTTACTCCTTTCCCCAAAACCACCATAGATGATTCCTGCAGCAGGACTGCAGATTGCATCCTGATCCCTTCCCATCCGTATCGCAGCAGTAGGGTGGGAAATTGCAGCATGTGGGGTTTGATTGGAGATATTCAGAGGAAAAAAGCAAAACGAATCCCAATCGTTTCCTTCTTGTAACACCCCAATGAGCCTACAACCCCCCCGTGACATTACTCTTTGTCTGCTGCAGATGTCAGAGGGAAAAACGAAGCAAATGCTTTGCTGTTAAATGGTATTCATCAAGTATGAGCTGTAAGCAGGAGTGTTAGCATGGCTGGATGCCACAGTCGTAGCACTGCGCAGGCTGCAGACCTGAGGAGCTGCTGTGCATCACTTCTCAACCATTTTGCAGACAGGCTTCACTGTCTCTTCTTTCTCTCTCCTGTCTCATCCACTCTGTTTCCCTGTTGGGTGTTCTGCAGCAATGTCCATTAGGCATGAGCTGTTTTGACATGTGCTGGCACTGCGGGGAGGGCTGGGCCTGCTGTGAAGACAGATCTCTGGACTCCTCATCTGAGGCGTGTCCAGGGCCTCGGGTTGCCCTAACCCACCCTGACAGATCAGGTGTTTGGGTGGATTTGCTGCATCTGCCCAACTTCAGCATCTCCCTGTAGGACTGAGGTTGTAACGCCATGGCTGTCGCTGCCACTAAATCAGAGCTGTGCCTTCCTGGATGCAGCTGTGGATCCCTTAACACAGAAATACATGGGATGTTCAGCAGTATTTCCCCTCGTCCTGTTTGTTCAGTACTGCAACAAGTCACTTCTGTGAAGATTTACTTGCTCTTCTGTGCTGGGAGTGCTGCAAGTTGGAGGAGGGAGGTGAGCTATAGACACCAAGTAATGGTTTCACTTAAAACCTGTAGTTTTGAAGATATAAATATATGCAGCGTTCAGTGCAGGCCAGTTCAGCTAGTTTCTGAAGCTTAAAATGGACATGGCAGTAGTTCAGGGGGAAATTGGCAAGTGGCTATATAGCAAGTTGTTACGTATATTACCAAGTTTTTCCTGATATTGGGACTTTTTTCCCCATTTTATCTTCAGGTCAGTGCATGAGAGGAAGGAACACATCAGCACCATGTCTTGGTGAAATTCCACATATCATTGAGTTTGTCTTCTTTCCATTTCGTTTTTGGTCTAATTAAGCTCATTTCTCTTGTTTCTTCTCAAGAATGCCAGGACTGGTGGGCAGCAGGTTGCAGACAAAACACTTCTACACTTTCTGCAAACTGCACAGCATGTTCTACTGTGAAAAGCCTTCAGATTGTGACAGACATCGGGGAACTATCAGAAAAACTCCAGAGGTCTCAGCCTTTTTTAATCAAGGTAATACCTGGATTCATAATTTGTAATTAATTGAGGTGGAATGTACACCGAAGAATACTTTTAGCCCAAATTTAAATACGTCAGGAGGGTGAAGAGCTGTCTGCATCCTTAGCAAGTTTTTCCTCTGATCTGGTCTGATTATCATTGTGGTTGGACACATAGCAAACTTGGTGGCTGTCACTCTTGGATTTTCTTCAAAGGATGTAAATGGGAGAGGGGAGAAACCCTCAGTATGCAGCTTTTTATTTTATTTCTGTGTTGTTTAAGACAGGACAATCTCTCTCCTATGAAGAACTAAAGCACTTTCAGTCCCAGGATCCTGAACTGGCAGAGATTATAATAGAAGAAAATTCATCTGAATTGTGGAGCTGCCTTCCAAGACAGAGCTTCCCATTTTTCCTTCCTTGGTGGGTCAAAGATGAAACCATCCAGAGGAGATGGATGTGTCCATCTCTGCTGCAGGGCTGCACAGGCTTTGCCTGTGTGAGCTCTCGGGAGCTTGCTAGTTGTGCTTTAACAGAGGGAATGGGAAGAGATGTGGGTTACAGACTTGTGTCTGCCTACTGACTCTGGCTTGATCCAAGCAGAGTATGCACTAAAAATGAAGCTCTGCATGCTGTGGCTTCATGCATGATAAAAATATCCCAGTGACTGCTTGGTCCTGTTCTTCAGGCCGTGTTTTAATCATTTGGGTGGTGGTCTGATCACCTGTGGCAACTAATTTGCATTTTTAATAACCTCTGGAAAGTCCTTCACTGTCTCTATTGACTGAGAAGAGGTACCATGACTTTTGCAAAGCACCAGGGAATCCTGCAGGATAATTGGACAATTTGAAGGGAAGAGGGGAAGGAAATTGTTTAGGTATCCACAATGTGTTTGTTCCCTGTTTACATTGTCCTGCTGCATATGCTAGAAAAGCTTAGGTTAAGAATTAGGGAAGACATATTTTACTTTCAAGTGATGTTTCTGCTCTTAGCTTCTTTGGTCTGCCCCCATCTCCCCCTCCAAAAACAGACTGATCTTGCCAGCATCTGTGTTTATCAAGCATCAGTGTTTGTGAACAATTTTCTTCTTGGAAGTATTATCATAATGTGATCTTTCTGTAATACAATGTTCTTCTTGTTGGACTTTTTTCACTTTTATTTTTTAGGAACAGGTCTGTGAACAGAACTCACATCCTGCAGGAATTTTTCCCTACTTCTTCTTTGCTGTCGTTCCCCAAGACAGTCTCCCTAGAGAACTGCTTTCTAATCCGCCGTCCAGATTTGGGGAATAAGGTGAGAAATTCATCCTGGAGCCATTGTCTCCCTGACTGTGAGTTGTCCTTCAGAATCTCCAGGCCTTTTGGGGATTTGCACATTTTCAGTTCTTTCCACTGCTGTGTGATGTGGCATCTCAAGGTTGCTGTACCCCCCAGAACTGGGGAGAAAGCATGTTGTGCCTATTTATGTGCTCCTGGGACACCGTGTCCACCTCCCTCAGCAGTTAGAAATGCCTATGGGGTGTCCCAGCTCCTCACATTTATGTCCTGGTTTGTGTGTGCACAGTTGGGCACAATTCACTTGAGAGGCACTTTTTGGGAGTTGTTCCTGGTAGTAAGTTCTACCCATTTTGGGATACCTGCAATGGGGGCACATCACAGAAATGAGTGTTGCCAGCCTGATCTTTGTTTCCATGTGAGTTTTGTGGAGGAGCTGCCTTGGGAGGCTTTGCCATATCTCTGGTATCTGAGGGAGCAGCAAACCTGTAGTTTGTGCTGCCTTACCTTGTTGCAGGATAGTAACCTGCCCTTGTTTAATCAGACAGATTCAAGAAAAGCTGGCAAGGCTTCTGAGATATTCTTCTCTCTTCCTAGAGCTACAGTTTGCACAGCCTCTTTGTTGTTGGAAGTGGACAGCTCACCATGACTGTTGTACCTCTGAACAAGTGCAGAGGACACTGTGAGATGTTCAAGGTGGATCTGGAAGCTGGAGATTTGGGTGAGTACCTGTGCTGTAATCTTCAGGCTCTGGGAGCTGGGTTTTTCATAGCTGACACCTAAGGATGTAGTGTGTGCCTGTAGTGAGTGTTTGTAGCAAGACATGGTGATTTTGGGCTGGAATTCATGGCCTGCACTACAACTGCATGCCATGAGATGCTCAGTGTAAAGATTCCTAAAACTGAGCTATAGGAGCTACACAAGACACAGTGCTCTGCTGGGTATTACAAACCCAGCATGCCACTCAGGGCAGGGGCTCAAATTGCTTCTGCATGTCTTCTTCCCTTCATGGGAAAGGCAAGCAGTCATTAGGCATGAATTGAACTAATGATGTTTCTTCATTGCATCTCCCAAAGGTTATGCCAGCATGGATTACTGGACGATGAGCTTCGTGGCCAAAGGGACAGAGCCAGTGGTTGTTTGTTATGGAGCTGCTAGCTAAGGACTGTGGCATAGGAAAACAGAGCTACTTCTAGAACAAGAAGACTTTCAGTTTTGAAGCCAAGGCAACATCTTGAAAGTGATAGAGTGGGGCAACTGTGACAGGCAGCTTTGCCACCTTGCGTGTTTACAGTGTTAAAAAATGACTGTTGTCCTGACCCTTGAGGTAATTCTTTGCCTTTTCTCAGATGTATTTTTGGAGAAGCTCAAGCTATTTATGACCTTTCCTGTCCCCTCAGGTAAGCTCTGGGCTGGCAGCAAGGGTTTTTTTCCAGGAGCAACAGAAGGGTTTCTCAGGATGAGATTAATCTTGTGTCCTTTCTGGATTTATGGCACTTCTGAAACTTCGGGGGGGGGAGAGGGAGGGAAGGGAACATTGGGAGTGGAGGCTGTGTGTGACGTTTCTGTATACATTCCTCCTGGGGAGGAGGCTTGAAGTCTGACATGTCAGGCCATCTCTATAAAGGGAATGAATTGACATATCCCACCTCCATCCCATCTCTCACACATGTAGCTGTGTGCCTCAGCAGTGTGCCCTGCATCGCCAGCCTCAGCTCTGTGCTTCTGGGCTCACACAAGCACTGCAGCCTCAGTGCAGAGAGCCTCACTCACCACACCATTCTTGTACCAAATGAATCTGTTCAGACCTCTGTGATCACTCTTCTGCAGTTCTCTATCAGCAGGCTGCAGGTGAGTCAAACTGTGACTGTGCTTTCTTCCCCACTTCTTTCCCTGCAACAAAAATGCAGGTTTCTGTGAGGTGCTGAGAGTGCAGTAGTAGTTCTGTTTGGAGATAGGGCTGGATGCAGAGAAGCTCTCTGCGAGATCACCTTCTGATTGTGCACCTGAGACACTGGGGTTGTGTGATTGCTTTCATATATCCCTTGCTTTGAGGTACTGCTTGTGTTCCCAGCCCAGGCTACCTGTGGGAGCACCAGGAATTTTCCATGTCCCTAGCTTTCTTTTTTCTTTTTTTTTTTGGCATCAATTTCTTCCAGACCTGAAACTTTGTCTTCAGAATGAATGTTGGTTTTTCCTGAGTCTGTTCCAAGCTGCCTTCGCATGCTTCCTGTTGCTTGAGCAACTGCTTTATCCAGTGCCCTGAGAGAGGCTTGGTTTCAGTGTTTGCAGGCTGCGGATGCTGCTGTCCCTTCCAAGTTTGATCCTTTGGGTCTGTTCCTGCTGCTGAAGATCATTTACAGATGTGTCAGGCTGAACTCATAGGCCAGGGCTGGGGTTCAGTACATACTCTCACACTTGTTAATATGGAATTGGGAGGGGTTTTGTTTGAAAGCAAGTTAACTCCGTTCTCAGGAGCAAGAACCTTTTCCTCTGTAAATATTTTAGATATACTTAAAATGATAGATTGGAAAAATGTCTACCCAGCCTTTGTTTTTGAACAAGAGCAGGCACATGGGAGCAAATGTCTTACTAATCTTATTAGGGGCTGACAGCAGCTGCCAAGTGGGATGACCACGTCTGGCTCCTGCACAAGGATAAGGCAGAGGACGGTTCCTGCTCCAAAGAATTTAGCCTGAGAGAATTTAGTCTGCATCACAAACATTTCTGTGCATAACCCTTGTTTTTCCTCCTGTGAGCTAATGAGAACAGCCCCAGCACTTGTGTTAGTCTGTGTGTTTGGCCTTTCATACTGCACCAATGTGCTCCAAGTCCAGTAGAACTGAAGGAGGTTGACTCTGAACAGAAAAAGACTAATTTAAGTTGTAGTAAAATATTAAAGGGAATTGGATTAATCAGACTTCTGTTAATATTGTTAATGCTTGGGGTGTGTTTTACCCTTGTGACACGACATGCAATCTTGTACATGCCAGCACACACACACACCACCCCTCTCCCTCTTCTCAAAGCCTGGATCTTAGTTAATGGAAATTCAGGAGTTCAGTGATGCTGGAATTAGGGCCCATGTAGTGACTGTTGCTATTTACGCTTTGGCAGCTTCTCAAGTCAAATTCAAGGACTGACAAGGTTACCTCACCTCTCACTGTTTTTGTACCTGGTCCATTTCTGTAACACGTTGGTTAGAGGTGCAGTGGGAAGGACCTGCTGGGCCCATCACTGCTGGGATTGAGGGCGATTTGGTGATGCTGTTACTTCTAAGCACCCTTGAATGAAACTTCTAAAAGAGCTGCGGAGACAATGAGTGTCTGTGAGATGCCTGTGTTTCAAGTGTCACACTTAAGCCATTGTGGCTGTCTGGATCCTTTGGGAAAAAGCAGAGAAAATGGATCTATTTATGTCTCTGTTTACACTGGGGGAAGAGGGACTGTAGGGTAAGTTTGTGCCTACTTAGTGAAAGTGCTCTCACGTGTTGCTTCCCCACTGCTCAGTGTTACAGCTGGTTGGCCAGGAGATGGTGAATCTGGACTTGTTGGCAGATTAGCTTTCCAAGTGCATTTTATGGTCTCTGCATAAAGTTTCCAGATCTGCGTCTAGGTGATACATTGCATATGTCCCAACCTTACTCCCTTTGGAGTTTACATCATTTGTTTTTAAACTTCCAGTATATTTTCTCTTCCTTTTCCAAGAGCTGTAAGGAATTAACTGCTAAGCAGAAACAGGAGGGTAATTCTCTTGCTGATAAAGAGCTGATTTTGGCCACAGCTGCTGCTGAGTGCAGAGCTTCAATCTGTAGTGCAGCTTCTCGAGTAGCTGCTGTTGTCAGCTGCCAGAGGAGCAGTGCTAACACCTTCCACATTGCAGCACAGGCAGGGAGCCGGGTACCAACAACTCAGAGGTGAGGCCAAAGTGGCAAAATTCAGATGGCCAAAAAGAGACTTGGACACCTTGGTCATGTGGCTGCAGCTGAGCCCTGGCCATATTCCATATCTGGGGCTCTGGCTTCACAGAACTTCACTCATAGAGCAGGCAGCTCCTAGCTGAGCCTGGTGCAGAATTGAGGGGAATGTGTCTGTTTTCTCAGCTCAATCAAGAGATTGTGACTCATCCAATCACATTTGTTGTTGCAGTGTGTCTGTCATGGTCTCTCTTGCCTCTAGCTTTGTTTTGGCACTTGTGCACCCTGTTTTGGGTAACACCCCACTTCCCATCCTGGCCAGCCCAGCGGGGTGCTCAGTAAATGTGTGCATCCTTATTCTTAACATTTCCATGCCTCAGAGCTCTTTGCCTGTGAGCTGGGAGAGAGGGACTTCTATTCACCTGACATCCCACAGGTTGCAAAGCTTCTCCGAAGTCACACCAGTGAGGCACTGAGAACCCAGTGGGCAGAAGTGTGGAAGGGTCATTTCTCTGCTCCTTGAGCTGGAGAGATGGGATGCTGGACCTCGGGATGGTTGTGCTTTAAAGCTGGTTTCCAAAAGCAGGGTCATTGACCATTGCTCTGAGTCCTGATCTCAAGGTTACTGAAAGGAGGAGCAAGGAGTGTTGTTTCCTTCAGTACCAGGAAATCAGCATCACTTCTAGGGGCCAAGCTGACAGTTTCTATTGATTGTTTTCTGTCTATCTCTGCTGATCCCAGCATCCAGCTGCCTTTGCAGTACCCTGGAGAACTTTCTATGCTCAGGTTTCCTGGGCCTTTGGCTTCTCCTGCTGTAAGGATCTGGCAGGGAAGCTGGTTTTACTGCAAGGAGCTGGGCTGGCTCAAAGCACCTCCCTTCTCTCCCTGGTTTGGTAGCAGCAAGCCCAGCTCACAGCGTGGGAACTCCCCGAGTGAGAAGAGGTGTCCTCTCTGCAAATTCTGTTCGTAGAGCCATGTGTTTTCCCCTTAAGGAAACTAATTCTCATAAAGCATAGGTTTCATGTCCTGCTGAGTTAAATAAGGGAGATGCTGGTCTTCCCCTTTGCTTTGGAGATTCAAACCAATGGCAGGTGATTTATTTTTTGTGCTGTCGCTTTGTCTGGACGGAGGGGGAGGCAATATAAAGGCTCAGGGGTGCAGGGAAGTAAAGCTATATATGCATAAAGACTGTTTCAATGCTGAACACTATAAATTCAATGGTGGATTAAAAGAAAAAGAATGTAAATATGCAATTAATGCAGAATTTTATGGATGGTCATAATTTAATATATTGAGAACTCTGTAAATACTTGGGAAAAAAAGTCTGTAAAGCGTGTAAATAAATGAGATTTGTATGTAAAGAAGAATAAAAAGAAAAGTTTTTACTTTTTGCAATGAAATGCAAGTGTTACTGCACCTCTCCCCCTTTCCTGATTCTTATTTTTCATGTTGTGTCTCAGCCATGGAGCAGTCATTTAACCCTTTTAGGACACTTTGTGGAAATTTTGAGTGAAAAGTTGGAATACTTTGGAAAATGTTTTGCCAATTTTAAGCTGGTTCCCAAAGCAAAGGTGCTGCAATGGCACTGTCTGTCTCTCCTTTCTTCCTACTAACAGCGTCTGTCCTTCCTTCACAATTCAGCTTATTTCAGCCAAACACTGACAGAGGGACAGAAGTTGATTATCTCCAGAGCTGAATAAGGCAGGCAAGGAGAGGAGAGAAAGCTCCCACTGCTACCAGGATAACGTGCAAGCCTTGGTAGGCACCCAAGAAGCCACATTGAAGACCTTCAAGATGTGAGTCAGTAGAAAATGAGGCTTTGCTGCTTCTGCAGTGTAGACTTGGGCCTTTTTGGAGCCCACCAGTGTTGAGCTGAATCCTTTACACCCCCATCAGGTATGGAACTCCTGTCTCATGCTGAGGCTGCTGGCTCCCAGGGGTGCAGCAGACTGGAGTGAGCAGCAGGAAAGCTGCATTCCTCACACACTTACTAATGCCGGCTGGACATGAGTTTGTCAGCTCCAGGGTGGGGCTTGGACCTCGTGCTGTTAATCTCCACGCTTCAGACACTGGCTCCACAAAGAGCCATTAGGGTAGGTTGGGAAGTTGGGAAATTGTGCTGCACCCCCCCCTTCACCAGCAGCCATGCCTGACCTTGCCAGATGCACTGGCTGTTACTCACATCTCTCCACGAGCCACGTGCCCTGGTTGTGACTCTTCCAGACCTGTTTTCCCCGAAAGCACTGTGTGTCCCAATTTTTTTAATCCTTATTGCTTCAGTAAGGTCTGGTGAGGATGCTGTAGTGCCAGGGGCTACTTAAGGCTTAGCCCTTCATTTCTGCATCACTTTGGAAATACCAGTTGGTTTGCTGAAGTCTTCTCATCACACTGCCTTGTTCTTCATCTGCCAAGCTGTGGTGAGCTGGTAGGACTTGGGTCCTGATATTGTTCCTTTCCAGTTGTTTCTCCAGGTCTCCAGAGATGCAGTAGAGCTATTGGAGTGTCTTGTGAAGGAGGTGGGTTTGCCTTGACCCAGACTCCAGGCCTGATGTTGACCTTAGCAATAAATGTGAATTGTGGTGAGAAGTTAGCTCCAGATCCTGCTTGCAGAAGTTATTGGGCTACTGAAAGCATTTTAGACTCTGGACCTAATAAAGGAGTAGTTAATATGTGGAGGTAAGATCTGGTGGGGATGTAGGAAAGCAATGGAAGCAAGAGGGGTGATGAGAGTGGTCTGAAGCAGAAGGACAACAGTAAAGCAGGGCCTGGAGAACTGGGAGGGGAGAGGGGAAGGCAGCACTGACTGTGTGTGATGAACTTAGCTCTGCTAGCCAGAGCTGCCCCCCCCAGCTGATCCTTCTGAACAGTGTGTGGCCCCCAGAGGCAGCTCCTGGAGCAGAGCTGGAAGGAGGAGGTGAGGGGGTCTCTGTAGGACTGTCTCCAGCACAAGTGGTGCAGTGTGTGACTGGGGATGCTGATCCTGAGCCCTCCAGGTGTCTGGCTGTGGCTGCAGCACAGTCTGTCCCTGCAGAGCTCATGGTCTGCTATTCCAGACAGACTTAAAGGCAGCTCTTGACTGCTAACTGCCCTTTTGGGGGCAATTCCGGCTCTGGATCTTGTTCTTTCTCCTTATCCTTCTGATGACACAGGGCAGGGACCCTCTGCTACCTCTTCTTAGAGGGACGGAGGGGACAGGAGGCTGTTTCCCACTGCCTGCTGCTTTCCCCTGACACAACCAGTGCACAGAGATAGGAGATGGACAAGGGGAGCCCTTACAGCACTGCAAGCTGTTCTCAGCAGTTGCAGTTGCCTTTATTTCTAGAAGCGCCTCAGTGACCAAGGAACACCCTTGTGTAAAACAGAGCTCTGCATTTATCTGTCAGTTGTTTGGGTTTTATTATTATTGTTGTAGTTCAGGACAAAAGGTGGAAAAGGGACCACATAACAGATGGTTGAGGTGATGTCTGACGTTTGGAACAGCAGAGAATTACATGGAAATGCCATTGCAGGGAATTAGGATTGATGCACAGGGTCTGCCTTGGGGAGTGGACCAAGGGAGCTCTTTGGCACTATATCCACTTCTGCTTCTCCATCAAGTCTGATATGTGAGATGGGTGTGTTCCATGTGGCTCTGAAACTCCTCTAATAAAGAACGATGTTTCCTCCCCAATCTTCAAGCTGTTGGGTGTTCCTTGCTTTTGGGAGGTGCTTTAAATCTGACTGCCAGAGCTGTGGGCTGCTAAGAGCAGAAGCTGTCTGCACGATGCTGAGCTCAGGTCTTTCTCCTCTTTTCCTGTTGCTCACAGCACTGGAGCTGAGCTGGTCCCTGACTGATGAAGAAAAGAGGATCATCTTGGATGAGCACAATAAATATCGCTCGCAGGTCTCTCCTCCTGCTGTGGATATGCTGAAGATGGTAAGTGGCTTTTATGGCAGGGAATCCCAGAGTGGAATGGTGCAAGGTTTAATCTTAATGCCTGCAGGAGTTGGGGTTTTGTCTGGGGAAAGCAGGGCAATAATTGCTTAGTGCTATTGGTATCAATGGAGAGGTTCCCCAAATTGCCTCTACAGGGATGAGTTTCTTTTCATGTGTAGAGTTGACTGATCATTTTTGGAAGTTCCCGAGCACAGTCTGTGTCTCCTGATGCTCTGTGAGAGTAGAGCAGCTTTCACTCATGTGAAACTCATTCAGAAAGGCAGATGTTGCCCTGCGCTGTGGTGCTGAGCAGGGCTACACAGCAGAGGGGGAATCCTGCTCCAGCAGCTGGTGAAGCACTGCTCCATGTGCTTCATTTACCTTTGCAGGTGATTGGGATCCAAAATTCAGGGGTGACTCCAGGTTGTTTGGTTTGGGCTTTCTGTCATGTTCCTAACCACCACGATTCCCATGGACACAGCAAGATGCAGAAAAGGGAATTTGGAGCCAAGCTCTTAGGGAAAGAATGAGGGAAACAATTTCCCACATGTCTAAAATGTGGGTCAGGATCCTCAGGTTGGTGGCAATTTGGAAGCAGGGAGTGCTGTAGCAGCGGTGGCAGATCACTTGCTTTGAGACGTTTCCCCTCTGCAGGGCTGCATTGTTTCTTCATTTAATCCAATCTCTAAACACACGGGACCTCCTGACACTGCAGATCAGGAGCACCACAGATGTTCAGTGTCGAGCAGCACTGACAGTTTCTTGTTAGAGGAGTTCCATGAAAGCACCATTCTAACCTTCCTCCCCAGGACACAGTGCTGCTTGTGCCTTCCCTGACTCTGACCTCACCTGCAGCTGCACCACGTTTCTGTTTGGGTCTGGTTGCTGTGGAAATAGATGATGGGGGGATTCAGAGCCTAAAGCCATTTATTTTAAAATGAGGCAAATGCTGCAGGTGCAAGCTCACTGTTTATGGAGCCCAGCTCTGTGCCAGAGGGAAACGGTGTGCATTTCCCAAGCAGGGTTTCCAGCCCGTTGCTCTCAGCCTGGCTTGGGGCCATGGTGGGAGGTCAGCTGGCTCTCTGTCCCCCACCCAGATATTTTGGTGCTTCCCCACAGTGCTGCTCAGGGGCTGTCCTTGTCCCCTCCACACCCTGATGGCCAAATGCCCTGCAGCAGAGCTGCGTTCTGTGCTGCTTTGCACCCACAGTGCTGGCTCTAGTCAGGAAAGACCCCTTAGGACCCTCTGTTTGCTGGGCTGCCTTCCAACCTGCTGCAGAAGCAAAGCTGCTGTCTCCATCACATGGAGCAAAGACGGTCAAAGCAGCTGCAGCACAGGGCTTCCCTCTCATCTCCCCGCAAGAAAGCCTCTGGGGCCTCAGCTGATGGGGGGCCACTGCTGCTCCCCATGCTGGAGGGGGCTCTGTGTGGCTGTCAGGGGAGATTTGTCCTGTTCCACTCCCATCCTCATCCCCACTCCTGTGAGACCCAGGGTCCTCTTGTCCTCCATCTGACTTACAGCTCTCCATGCTGAGCTCAGGGTGCTCCGTGCTGACGTTTCAGGTGCTCCAGGCAAGGCTGAGAATCGTGCTGCTGCGCTCACCTACTCCTGTTTGATATGTTTGGTTTGTGCTGGGACGGACTGAGGAGCTCCCTTCCCCCATGGACTCCTCAGAAGACACTCAGGGCACCCACGTATTGAGTAGGGATTTGAATATTACTTCTGAATGGGAGAATCATGACCAGGCAGCTCAGGAGTCCCTCTTGTGTGTGTCAGAGAGCCCCCTGTCCCTCTCCATTTACTGATACTGAGCTCCTTGCAGAGCTGGGACACGGAGCTGGAGGCCTTTGCCCAGGCCTATGCAGAGAAGTGCATCTGGGACCACAACAAGGAGAGGGGCCGACGGGGGGAAAACCTCTTTGCTATGGCCCCAATGCTGGATCTGGAATTTGCTGTGGAGGACTGGAATGCGGAGGAGAAATTCTACAACCTGACGACTTCCACGTGTGTCTCCGGGCAGATGTGTGGCCACTACACCCAGGTACCAACCTGCTGGGGCAGAGGGAAAAGTTGGTGGGGAAGGAGCTGTATCAGAACCCTGGGTCCTCCTGGGGTCTTTGCAAAGAGATGGGGAATCTGTGCTGGGTACCAGCCAGGAATGACTGATATAGGGGGGGACCTGGGCACGGTGCCTTTTGGATAAGACCTCTCTGAAGATAGCTCTGCAGCTGTTTTTTGGCAGTGCAGCAGAGCTGGGTGCCAGCTTGCCTCAGGCAGAGATGAAATCTGAGTGTGTCTTTGCAGTGTGAGTGAGTGGTGGGAGTGGAGAGGAGCGTGGTCAGTGGTGGTGAGTGTCAGGATGGATCTATGAAGGAGCCCAGGATCAAAACAGAGGTGGTGATGCTATGGAGTAGAAAAGCTGTGGCTCTAGGCTGGGAAGGTGCTCCAGACAGATGCAGCTTCCAAGGCCAGAGTATGGCCTGTCAACAAGGCATCTGCCTCCATCATCACCTCACCTTCACCCCTGGTCTTTGTCCTAGGTGGTCTGGGCAAGCACGCACCGCATTGGCTGTGGGTCCAAGTTTTGTGAGAAGATTGAAGGAATTGAAACAGAGGACATGTACCTGCTTGTCTGCAACTATTATCCCCCGTAAGTCCCATGCCTCCAATGATTTGGTTCATCTTGGTGGGGCATCTGTGCTGGAAATGCCCTGCCACCAGTCCCTATAGAATGGCAGGAAAAGCCTTTGGTCTTGCTCAAAGATAAAGGCAAAACAATTTTGAGAAAGGCTTTTGTTATCTTGGGTTGGTTGTAAAGGAAGGAAGGGTTGTTTGGTGATCCTCACCCATGATTGTGATTCCTGTGTTCTGGTTCAGCTCCTGGCACAGACCAAGGAGGGAACTCCCCCAGAAAGCTGCTCAAGGCTGGTGCTGCAGCAGCTGAAAGTACAAACATCACCTGCTTGCTCTGTGCCTGGTACTTCCCAATAGAGCAGGGATAGCCTGGTGAGGGGGGAACATGTTTTCTACCACAATGGTAAAATGTGGGAGGAAGGGTGGGTGCCTGCCTGTGAAGCCCTGGGATTAACCTCAGGGATCACTCATTCTGAAATGCAGAGCAACAGCAGACCTTCTTAGGAGTGTTTAGCAAAAGGGAGACGAAGGCGTGTTTCCAAATGCCCGTTGACTGCTCTTTTATAAGGGGCAGTGAAAGACCAGGTCCACAGAACTGTTTCCCCTGGTTTTAGCAGTCTTGGGTTCAGGACGTGGATCAAACTGTGCTGATCCAAGTGTGTGGCAGAAGACACGCTTTAATTCTGAGTTTTGTTTTGGCTGGGATATTCCAGCTGAATCAGACTCTCTCTCAGGAATGGGTGTTTTCTGCCCTGTCCTCACATTTTCTGTTTCTTGGTGTCTTCTGCTTCCAGGGGTAACATGAAAGGCCGAAAGCCATACAGGGAAGGACCCTCTTGTTCACAGTGTCCCGAGGACAGAGTTTGTGTCAACTCCTTGTGTGGTAAGTAAAGCAAAGCCATGCATGTGCCTTGTCAGGCTGTTGGGACTGAGACCCCTGGGTTGAGGTCCACGTTCTGAACCTGGACCAGCAGCTTCAGGTCTGGACTATGAGACATATCACGTGTGATGGCAGCCCCTGAGAAAGGTCAACTGCCAAAAGATGAGGAGGATCGAACCAGGACCTCAGACCTCCCATAGCCAGTGGTTATTGCTCCATGAGGATGCCCCATTCTTAAGGGGAAGGAGGTTGTGTAAAGGAGATGAGATTTCTCAATGTTGGGAACTCTAGAGTGGGAGATGGCCCAGAGTGACCTAAGCAGCCTCTGGCTGCTCCTTCTGTCCGCTGTTGACTTTTGCTGGCCCTGATCAGTTGAGGCCAGCTGACCCCTGTGCTAACCCATGGCACTTTTCATCTCTTACCAGAACCCACTATAGAAGAGACCACTCCACCCTCTGTGACAACAAAGGCAAGCCCATCCACCCCAGTCACACCAGAACGCACTACACCAGCACCCACCACAGTCACAGCCAAGCCAGAACCCACAACCATGCCCTCAGCCACCACACCAGTAGCCAGCACAGCCAAGGCAAAACCAAAACCTGCTACAACCAAGCCATCATACACCACACCAGTATTCACTACTGCTACATCCAAGCCAAAACCCACCATGCTGACAACCACCACTACAGCCAAGCCAGCACCCACCACACCAAAACCAACAACCACCACACCAGAACCCACCACCACCACACCAAAACCCACAACAACCACCACTACAGCCAAGCCAGCACCCACCACACCAAAACCAACAACCACCACACCAGAACCCACCACCACCACGCCAAAACCCACAACAATCACCACTACAGCCAAGCCAGCACCCACCAAAACCACCACTATGGCCAAGCCAGCACCAACTACGCCAAAACCCACAACCACCACTACAGCCAAGCCAGCACCCAGCACACCAAAACCCACAACAACCACTACAACCAAGCCAGCACCCACTATGCCAAAACCTACAACCACCACTATAGCCAAGCCACAGCCTACTACACCAAAAGTCACAACCACTACTACAGCTAAACCAACACCCACCACACCAGAACCCACAACAACCACTACAGCCAAGCCAGCACCCACCACAACAAAGCCTGCAATGACCACGCCAAAACCAACCACCACCACTACAACCAAGCCAACACCAACCACGCCAAAACCCACCACCACCACTACACCCAAGCCAACACCCACTGTGCCAAAACTCACAGCCACCACTGCAGCAAAGCCAAAACCTGCTACAGCCAAGCCAACATCCACCACACCAGCATTTACCACCACTACAGCCAAGCCAACATCCACTGCTATAACATCAGCAAAGCCAGAATCCACCACCACAACAAAGACAGAACAGACTGAAACTGAAAGTCCTGATTATATTGCAACAACTGGGTTAACACTTTCCTTTGAGCCCACGTTAGACTCGGATTATAGAGTATTTCCAGAAGCAGAGTTAGATACTGAAGAGCCTGTTGCCTCCTTAACTACGGAGAATCCAGACTTATTAGAAAGTATGGGCACAGCCATCAGTCCCAAATCAATCCCAGAAACAAATAACGGTGTGAAAGAGGATGAGAAAGAGAAATCAGCCTTCTTTTCCAGTTCAACTCCATCCCCCAGCCAGATTATTCCAGAGATCAAGTTAGGTTTCAATAAAGCTGAGCTCATAACCTCCTCAAAGTCAGTGGTCTCCAGCCCTGAAGAACCCATCTTCATGCGTTTAACGTCATCTTCCAAAGAAAAGGGGCAGAGCCCTGCTTTCCAGACCTCCCTCTCAGGTAAGGTAATTGTGGAGTCTGTCCTGGCATGGACATGCAGACGTTGAGTGATCCCCAAGCAGCATGGAGCACACTTGGGAGGAACCAGTATCAGACTGGTCCTTTGGATCCTCATCTTTGATGTGGCAACAACCCTTTTCCTCACTCTTTCCCCTAATGCTTAAAGGGTCTGTTTGGATGTCTGGTTTGTGAAGCATGGATTTGTTTACAGCCTGCTCCTCACTAACACCCACCAGCTGTGTCGTGTCTCCGTTGGATCTGTGTGCTGCTGCCTTGCACCTCGTGGTGTCGTGGTGCACATCCCTGACAGACCTGCATGAATGGGAGTTTCTCTTTTGCTCACATCTTCCCCTCTAACTCTGTGCTGTTTTTTTCTTTTCTGCCAGCAGATGCCCTGAGTGCTGAAGAGCTGGAGACAAACTCAGACCATGAAGGCAAGCAGCAGCCTACAGCTGGAGCTCCCAGTACCCGCAGGGGCCTTTTGCTCTTTCTCCTGCCCAGTGTCATCCTGGTGGGCCTTCTGCTTTGAACAGTCTTTCTCAGCTGTCCCTGCACCGGTCGCCAAGGCTTTCTTCAGCATTGGCTGTCCCACCACCCTGGTAGGCTTGGGAGACACCACGGACAGTTCAGGTTGACACGATCTCCTCTTCCTCTGGCTCACCCGCTCCAGCCCTGCTGTGCCAAGGGCTACTGGCCATCACATGGGCACTCAGTGCCCTTCCTAAGACAGCCCAGGGGCAGGAGGGTGTCTGCCATCATGCTAGTGAACTTGGGCACCAATACTTCTCCCTTCTTCCCAGCCAGCCTGGGCTTCTACTCTGTTTCCAATAGGAGACGATAAGCTCTCATTGCCCTGTGTGGCCGGCAGGTCCTGCTGCACCACGTCCCAGGGAAAGCAGAATGCCCTGGAAACCCAAATGGCAATGGGACACGGTGGTTGGTTTTGGTATTTGTTTGGAGGCAAGACACGATTGTTGAGTCTGATGTCTGTGTATCAGGATGGATTTCTAACAGAAATGCTTTCTTTCTCTCCTCGTGTGTCTGTTTGTCTCAGTTTTGGAGAAGTGTCACCTCTTCCTTCCCTGTCCAAAAACGGCATTTTTGTCCACAGAAGAGGTTTGTGTTTCCTTCTTGCTATGGCCAGTGTCTAGACGTACTCCTTCTCCTGCCATCCCTCTGCAGTCTTTACCTCCTTCCTCACTTCTGCTCCAACAGTTACTCCGTTGTCATGCCTTTATTTACGCGTGTGCCTGCACGTGTGTGCCTGCACAGAAGAAAATCCTCCAGCACTGGAGAGGAGTTACTGCTCCTTTCTTCTGCACGCCTTCCCTCTTTGCAGAACTTAAGTGTACGACGTATTTGCAGTTAGATACAGATCCTGGTTGATGTATATATGTGGATCCAGGAGGAAAAATAATCAGGTCTGCTGGTGCAATTTCAGCTTGAGAGAGCCAAGTGAATGACGTTAGAGGGTACCGGTGGTTCCAGGACTCGTTGCAGGATGGCTTTCATTCTCTGGAGCACTGTGTGTTGTATTCCTCCATGTTTCTGCTCTGTTCACCTGAAGATTCCCAGCAGGGGGTGTTAAATATGGGACAAGTTTTGCAGACCAGCAGAAGGGATGAGAAAATCCAGTCCTTCTCTGGTTGCTGCATTCTTTGGTTTATTAAATAGATGAGGTGGAGATAAGTCCGAGTCCTCCCCCTGATGCTGTGTGCTGTGCATCTCCAGAGCATGCACTGAATAAATCCTGTTCTGAAAGTCTGTTGTGGGGCACGTAGTGTCTTTTTGGGATATCCAGAAGTCGGCTTGTATCTGAAAAACAATCCCAGTTGTGTGTTTAAGTAGAATTGCTGCAAATCACTGTGGCTCCTTCCAAGTGCTTAATGCTGTTATTACTTTTTGGCTTTCCGAAAGCATCTGGATGCTGGGTTCTGCAGGATTGCAGCCTTTTTATCTTTTGGAACTCGATGGTCTTTAAGGTCCCCTCCAAACTAAGCCATGATTCTATGACTTATGCTTTTAGCCCATTTAAAAGCAGGAGGAGGAGGACATTCAGCACGATGTAGGGAATGTTTCCCCAGCTCCCAGCTGAGTGCTGAGCAAAAAATGTGTCTTCAGCAGGAATTTTTGGGCAAGGAAAGCAAAAGGAAAGGAGCTCAGAGCAAAAAGAAACCAAGATGAAATTAATGCTGGAGTGCTTCTGGTTCCCTGCTACGAGGCCAAGCAGCCTCCTCCCACCCCAGCACGTCTTCATCTTTGCAGCAACAAAAGAAGCTAAATGCAATGTCTTCCCCATCCCTTCCCCACAGCCTGCTCAACATCACAGCACCCACACTGCAAGGAGTGAACCCACAGCACAGGAATGATGCTGACGTTGGACCTTTGCTTGTAGCTTTGAGGCTGCTCTGTGCATCCCCTCTCCCTGCAGTTCTGCTGCAGGAGCACAGCAGCACAACTCCCTGATAGGAAGCAGCTGCCCGTGGGGTGTTTTTAGGTCATGGTCATTGCTAACCCTGCTGAATGGTGACCAGCAGATGGCAGTGGGACAGTCATTGCGGAGCACTGAGCAGCTTTGACCTCACTGTACAGTGCTCTATTTAATCCCAAGCATCAGATGTAGTTAAGAATCAGATTTTAAAATAACCTCTCGTCCAGGTTGTTGCATGGTCTCGTTGCAGGCTGAGCTCCTGCAAGCTGCAAGGGGAAAAGCACCCAGCATGGGGCTGCTGACAAGTGACAGAAGTACGGCCAGAGCAGCTGCTGTTCACCTGTTATAAGGGCCTGCAGCCCTACCAGGGGTAAAGCAGGGACAGAGCTGGGACAGCACTTTGGGGCTGCAACTGTTTGTCCATCTGGGTGAAGGAGATTGTATCATTAATTCCCTATCAATGATTAAAAGAGCAGAAAAGTGTTTCTCCTCCCAGCGAACTGAGAGCACTTGGTCAACATCGGATTTGTTTTGCAGTGTTGGGTGCCTCCCCCTCTCCTGCCTACCTCAATAACCACCGTGGGGCTCAGAGCAGCAGTAACAGAGTTTGCATGAGGCCCATGCAAAGCATTCCAGAGTTTTTTAAAGGATTTTATCTTTTTTTTTCTGGTTCAGTTTTCTTTTCCTGAAAGTTTTGACACTTGCAGTCATGGAATGGTGCAAGCACTATTTATAGAGTTCCTTGCAGAAGCAAATTCAAAACGAGAAGTCAGATTCTCCTTCCTCTTCCCCCTGTGCCCTGGGACAGTGGGGCTGAGCGCTGCCAGGGTGGGGATTTGGAATGGTTTGGTTTAGTCCCAAATCAGGAGGATTTAGGGAAGGAGGGAAAGTAACTGCGTGGCAAACGTGGATTGAGAGTGTGGTTGGTAAGCAGGGAAGGGCATGGGACATCCAAGGGAAACTTGTGAAGCATTTCCAGCTCTGTTTCTGGGGATGGCCTGAAGGATGCTCGGCCTTTGAAGTGAGTTGGTGGGAGATTCCTGGAAGGAAAGGAGCCAAGCACCTGGCGAAGCTGCTGCAGGAGTCTGGGGGTCCAGAGTCACATGAAGAGGAGGTTTCCATGTGGCCATTCCTTCCCTGACATGGAGGATCCCTGCTGGACGGGGCCTTGCTGCCTCTATGGAGGTCTGTGGCAACAGAACTGCCCCATTTCCCATCCTGGCCCCAGCACAGTGCCTGCTGACAGCAGGACCCACAGCCTCAGCTGCTCAGCCAACCCCACCTCCCCCACAGCCTTGTCATGTCCTGGTTTCCCCTTTGGGTTCAGGGCTTTGGTCACATGGAGGGTTTGCTGGGTGACACACAGTTAGGAGCCAACCCTGGCCCCAGTTCATCAGCCATGCTTGTTTCAAGCAGTAAAAGACACTATTAAAAAAAAAAAATACAATAGTCAAAGCAAGTTTATTTTCACAGAAGAGTATCTCTAGTGGTATTTTATTCGTGGTTTTCATCTCACACTATTTTACTGCTTAAAATTCTTTGCATTAACATCAGTGCAGTGGATGGGGAGTGAACTGATTTCGTTTGGGACCCACAGGGTTAATCCTTTTCCAGGGGACACCCCTTAAACATGAAGCTGACGTGCTGCCCTGTTCCCATACTTGTGCTGCTGTTTTGGTACCTTCCGAGCAATGCTGGGGATAGAAGCCCTTCCCCTGAGGAGGTACATAGAGGGTTAGAATGTGTAGAAGAGAAGCGAGCTGTAGCTTTGTGTGGCAGGTCCCCATGACTCCTGGAAAGCCAGATGTATGGAGCAGAGGGCTGCATTCCTCTGCTGCTAGATACTCAGCATCCCCACCCTTCAGCTGTTGCCCAGCCTGAGTAAATCCCATCCCAGCCTTGCTGAAGCTACGCCCTATCCCAAGAAGCAGAGGAGCCTTAAATGAGCTGCATCACTGATGAGAGTCCCAGAGCCCAAGCAGCCAGGTCTGAATCGCCCCATGTTTCATTTCCAGGGTGAAATTTGAGGGCTCCAATTTCTTATTGCAGCTCTCTTCCTCCCAATTCATCTGAGAAGGTGCCCTCAGTTTGCCCTTGCTCCTCAGTGTCTCAGATCTCACATGTTCCCCTGGCAGTGAGATGCCAGTGATAATGTCCCCAGACATCCTTCAGTCTTGAGAAACTGGTGCAGCCCTCATCGAGTTACAGTCCCTCCTGTGATCTGGATTCTATTTACTCTGGAATGTGGCAGAGGGGTTGTCCCATCTGCTTCTCACAAGGGGAAGAAATAACCATTCTCTGTCCCTTGTCAAGTGCCAGAGCTCTGAAGCAGGCTGTCATCTCCTGCATCTGCTGTCAGATGTCAGTGCCACCTACCTGGCAGGAACAGGAAGGATTAGGACTTGCTGCCTTTGGCTCATCTCTCTTTCTCACCTGTCTCCTGAGGAGGATGGGGCATTGGTCTGAATTGTTGGCTTATCTTACATAAATACATAGGAGCCCTAATCTCTCCAGCAGGGTTTGCATGTGAGTTGGGTTGATAGAGATTATCAAATCAGAAAGAACCACCCTCTAACTCTGTCCCATGGGAGAGCTGGGAACTTGTCCAAAACCAGAATGTACTTCCAGGGGCCAACCAGCCAAAATCTGATCAGCTCACAGGGCTTTCAGTCCATGGGCTAAGCCAGCTCATTTCATTGTTTCTCTTGCAGCCATTAAAAATGAGAGATGCATTCTTCTTTATGTAGGTGTTATGTAGTTATTCCCTGGAATAACACAATCCTAGGTGCTGTAGAAGACCCACTGTGTTGTTCAGTAGTGCCATGTGCTGGTTTTTTTTGCTCCAGGACCTCTCCTCTGTGGCTGAGCATCTCCTCTGGTGGCATTGCTGCTCTTTAAGGAAGGCAATAGACTGTATAGTTATCACCTGAAATGGGATAGAATCCCTCCCACCAAACTATACAACCTACTACCTCACCTCCACAGAGCAGTACAGAGGTCTGGTGTGATTCCCTGGCTTTGTGGAAGAGCAGGATTTCTTGCACCACCTCTCTCCATGCTTTGTGTGGAAGCAGATGAACTGAAGATCTGACTGTCTCCTTAGGAAAGACAGTAGATTGTATAGTTAGCTCAAAGGGAGGATAGGACTCCACAACTATTCAATCTACTACCTCAGCCTCAAGGACAGCTTGGGACCATTGCATCTAGGGCAATGAGATGATCCTTATCCAGGTACTGACTGCTCAGTGGTTCCTGTGAAGAGAAATGCATAAAAATTCATCAGGCTTTGTGCTGCTAAAAGAAGCAAGTCTCATACTCAGCCTTGTCGTGGAGCTCCCTTTCCTCCTTATAGCTCCACTTGGACTATCATATATCCTTGGCAATGATGCTGGCTGCAAACTTTATGTGCCCAAGAGCTTATGGAAGCAGCACATCTGCAGATTGAGCCCAAGACCATGCACACAGCAAGCAGAGCCTTCCTGAAGCCACAGCAACACCAAATAATATACAGGCAAGCTGACCTCACCTCTTGAACACACAGCATATCTAGAACAAACCTGCCAGACTAGATAAAATAATCTATCAATTTAGCTGTTATGCACTCCAGGGAACTGAGCAGATTAGAAGTAACTGAGTACAAGGAAGCTTTTAGGCTGCACATGTAATGGTATTGAGTATATCAAGGCAGATCTCATTTCCCAAACAAATGAGAGCAACATGCAGGTCCTTTAATGCTATAGCACAGCCAGGCACTATTAGCGTGGAGCAGAGACAGGCTGGCTTCCCCCCAAGCCCTTGGCTCACCTTCTGAGGCTTTTTCATTCTCTGTACACCTAACTACAGATGCAAGGTATTATGCTGGCAGTTTAGAAGATGTGTGAGGTTCTCTTGCAATGAAAAAGATTTTCCCTTAAAGATTAAAGGATCTAAGGAAAAGGGAGTCACCAGCAGCACGTTAAGGGGCTGCATGTGCAACACAGCAAAGACCCAAAGGACTTCCCAAAAGAACTCAGTGCTGTGAAGCAGGAGGGGTCCCATCTGCCCACGGCTGGATGGGAGATGCAGGGGCTAAGGCATACATCACCAAAGGGACAGAGGATGCCTAATGAATTGCATTTCCACAGCTAACAGGCAGCAGAGTGCATGAGTGAGATACCCAAAGCTCTGGTCAGCTATTGTAGCTGGTGTCCCCAAGGTGAGAGTTTAAGATGGGCAGAAAAAAGGATATCTCTGCAACGAGGCTTGGACAGTGCCCACATTCCTTCGACGAGCTGTCCAGAAATCCTTCTCAACTAGCAGTCAGCACAGCCCAGTTAATTCTTTTAATTTCCTTTGACAAACTCAGCCTTGGGATGACCCACTGTGCCAGGCCATCTGGCTCAGGCCTCTCCCTGTGTGATAACATATAAACAGTGTTAGAAAATCAGCGTTGCAGGACTGATTCCTACAGCATTAAAGTACCCAACCCATCCACGGTGCCAAGCGCTTTGAATCCCAAACAGCCTTCTGATGGGGAATAATATTCTTCCTGTTTTATTGGCTTAGCAAATGATGCACAGAGGTTAAACCTCCCTCCTTAATGCTTAATGCAACAGCAGCCAGAGCTTTGCGGCATTTACCACCAGGAACAGAGGGATTCATTTAGTCAGAAGTTTAGGAGTTAGGCTCAGTGATCCTCGTGGGTTCCTTCTGACTCCTGGTTTTCTATCTGAAAGTGTTTTAGCTTCCCAAAACTTAAGCTGGTGCCACAGACACCAACCAGAGGAGCAGGCATTTACAGGCTCACTTTTGATACCGTTGCAGAGAATAGGAGTTTGGGTTAATATCAAACTGTGGATGGGAAATTACATTACATAGCCCCTCATTTACATCAATCTAATTATACATGGGGAGGAGAAAGAAAAAAAATCCCTTCTGACTTCTACAAGTAATCCTGAAAACAGGAGATTTAATTATGATAATTGTCTTAATGAGTATAGGTTTCAGGAATACTGAGCTGCTGACACTGCAATCCTGTTCCTACCAGGACCTATGAAAAAAGCAGTCAAATAGGATAATTCAGAAATGCTGTGAGGATCAGTGTGACTCTTGTGGCCCCTGTGCCATTGTCACAGCTGGTGCTGTAAGGATGCCCCTCTCCAGGATGGATTATGGTGTAAAGATGAGGAAAGAAGCAGCAATGTGATCAAATCTGCCAAAGATCACAGGATGAGTCCATAGGAAAGCTGGCAGTGGGACCACCCTGGGCAGGTCCTGCTCCTGTCTCCAGGCACCTTCCCATCATGATGGCTTCCCAGTTTCCAGGCACAAAACCTTCCCTTCCAGCACACTGCTGCTGAACCACACATTTACAAGTGCCTAAATGCAACACTGCACTGCAAAAAGCTGCATAAAACGGCCAAAAGGGTCCACAGGGGTCAGGAGCCCATACCCCAAAGCCATCTGCTGCCTTCTGAGCTCATGAAACCTGAAATTTTGGAAGATTTTTAGACACTTGACCTCCACGAGCCAGAAAAACACCATTTTCTGTGCACAGATTTTTGGGGAGCAGTACTGCTGCTCTCCCATTCCAGATCCACACGAGGACATAAAAATAAGCCAAATGTGGGATAGAAATTGGCAGGTGAATGACGGCTAGCTTTCTTCAAGATCCTTCACGTAGGTAAAACGTCCGTTCCATCCTGGCTTTCCTGCTTGTATTTCGAGATGGAAAAATGACTGCAGCCAACTCTGGGGACCTTGGGGAGATGCCTCATGGTGGACCCACAGCTGCCTGTGGGTCTGAAGGCCGAAGAGGCCCAGCAGAGCCTCTGCCTTTCAAATCGTGGTGGTACGGAGCTTCGGAAAAGAGCTTGAACAGCTTCGAGGAGCTGATCTGGCTTATTAAGGAGAAGTGAATGAAATGGAGGAGGAGGAGGGGGGAGGAAACCATGCAACAACAAGGTCGCTCCGTTCAAAGCAGGCGCAGCTTTCAGCCTTTGTATAACAGCAGCGCTGAGCTCGGTGCCAAAATGTGCCGGGCACGGGCAGGACTTCCCAGAGGAAAATGCTGAGTCTCTGAGAGTCCTTTCAGCCCCATGGAGCCACGGCAGGAGCAGACAGAGGGAGGCAGGGGAACGCAGAGCTGCCCGCAGCCACTGCCGGCTCCCACAAAATGGCTGCCTGACGGCCATTTTGTCGCCGTGGCTTTGCCGGTGGGGAAGGCCGTAGCGACATGGAATGGGGAAATGAGAAGCAAATAGACAAGAAGAGAAGGAAAAAAGAAGAAGAAGAAGAAAAAAAAAAAGAAGTTGGGAAAGTTTTCGGGAGCTCCTGATGGGTGCAGGGATGCTGTGTTCTGGGAAAGCATAGCGGAGCTGACCCTGGGGCCGAGCGTGAAGATGCGAAAGAGTTAATTGGAGGCAATGCAAAGAGGCAAAGGGGAGATGGACACCAAAATTGGGAAAGTTCACCCCCCAAAACAGCCCCGCATCTCAGCAGTGCTTTCCTCCGTGGGCTGTAATGTTGTCGGCAGTTCTTCACTTGTTTGTATGAAGCACTTATTGTCGTGTGAAACAATTAACAGGTATCCTAATGAATTCCTGCTCATCTGACAGGGGTTGTCTCGAGTTCTGTTGGATGTTTGTCAACCTCTCGGTCCTCATTCATCAATTTGGTGTTTTTATCTACAATATGTGCATCTGTAACATGCTCCTAATGCTATTTGTCTTTGATTAACCCTTCATAAACCCATTATTAAAGGTTGCAAGAAATGCTGGTCAATCAGCATATCACATACACTTTCCTAAAGGAAAAATAAAAATCCCAGATTTTTTTTTGTCACAAAATTAAAAACAAGTGCTATTAATGTTTCGTAATTCCTCCGGAAGAGTAAAAATCAAAGAGATAAAAGGAAAAAAAAAAAAAAAAAAACTTTTAACTGCTCTGTGTTCAATCCTATAGGATAATGCAATTCTATAAGATAACACGATGCTACAGGATAACGCAATGCTATAGGATAACAGAATTGTATAGGAAAACACAATGCTATAGGATAACGGAATTCTATAGGATAACTGAATGCTATAGACAACGGAATTGTATAGGAAAATGCAATGCTATAGGATAACGGAATTCTACAGGAATTCTATAGGATAATGGAATGCTACAGTATGGTGGAATTCTATAGGATAGCGGAATTCTATAGGAAAACGCAATGCTATAGGATGACGCAATGCTATAGGACAACACAAAGACCTACGCAGAGAACATCCTGCAACATTCTGTAGGACTCTTCCATTAATTCTGCTCTTCTTCAGTTCAAAACCTGCTTGCAAAAGGCTCACGTTTACCCCTAACATATACATTCGGACCAAAACACGGAATTTGCAACGCGCTCCCGGCGCCCACCTATGCACCCCCAACTCCAAGACCACCATTTCCACCACAATTGTCCTTTTGTAAGAAAGCCAAGCAGATACGGAGGCAAATACCTTTCTATGCAAGGACAGCGATCCCCCCGCTCCTGCTCTCGCTCCCAGCATCTCTCCAGATGTCCAGCAATCCCTCCAGGAGAGGTGAGACCACCCCAAAGCTGACCCACAGCAGAGCCGATCCCCATTATGTCACCAGAAATCCATTCCCCTCTGCCGTTTGGGAGCAAAGAGCCACGACTGCAAACTGCGAAGCCATCCCAGCAACTGAGGGAAATGCAGAATCACTTAAAAAAAAAAAAAAAAAAAAAAAAAAAAGGGT